TGGATGGTTTTATTTGTAGCAAAGTAGGGAGCATTGAGGATTTTACGAAGGATTATGGATTGTAAGGATTGGATACGAGAGGAATTCGATGGTTTATTGGACCCCCATAGCTCAACTCCGTAAGTCCAAATAGGCCTTATTATATTCAAGTATATGAGTCTTTTGTAATTAATTGAAAGTTTAGAGCGTTTGTCCGGTAAGTGCTGAAGTAATCGGAAACGTCGAGCGGTTTCTGGTCGTTTCAGTCTATTATGAGGATTCCAAGTTAGTCGTTTGTCCAGGTGGAGTCCTAGGTATCGGATTTGCTCAACAGGGATTAGTGGAGTATTGTTAATGGAAACTGTAGGACAGAAAGTCATTGGTTTACGACTAAATTGTAATTATAATTTGATTTAAATGTTCCGTTCTTTTTTTTTTTTTTTTTTTTTTTTTTGTTATATGATCCTTTCACTTGACAGAATCACAAACTCAAATTACTGCAATTTTGTTTATTAATTTTAGTGATATTTCAAGTGGGAAAATTTATACCTTTGTTCACAATTCAACACTGCAATAAATTAATCTGGAATCAACTTAATCACTGTCTATAAATTTTCCAATATCACTAAAATGACTTTACTCAAAAATGTTTAAATGTGAGTTAGTCATTCTGTCAACTGAAAGACTCATATAATGTTCGCGTTTGGACTTATTTTTATCAAAATTTTATTAAATTTTTCTTTCAATTTGAAATAAAAAAAGAGTTAAGATACATTAAGACAATGCCAGTAGACAAGTAGATTTGGATTCCAAAATCTTCTTGGTGGTCTGACCTTAGCAACAAATTTTTTATCAAAATTTCATAATTTGAACGGAAATTTTCCCTTCTAAATTTCACTTAGCTCCTTTTTTTATAATCAGGGAAAATCCAAATTAATAATAACAATGAAAGATCCTTTTTTCTTTGAAAAATGGAATGGATTGAGGTGCATTTACTTGACCTTGTTATACCTGGTCAACTTCTATAGGGTTTTATTATGAGCTTAGTGAGAACTTCAAGTTGTAATAAAATTAAGAGGGTCTTCGGCATGCTGCCTGTATATTGAGGTAAGGACTTGAAAACCGTCAGTTTTGTTTCGGAACTTGACTGGTTGAGATCTTTCAGAATTCTTCGACTTTTTCTTCAATTTTTTCTGTAAATAAAGGTAAGTAGATAATAATTTTCCATCATTCCATTTTATTCAAAATTGTTATATTTAAATTTTAAATATAATTGTCAATTATAAATATATATAATTATATATATACGATTTACTATATGGACTTCTCTCAAGACCCGTCGTACAAACTAGGACATTTTTCGCCCTCGAACGAGTAAGTAAACGGTTTTTTATCACATTAAATCGCCCGGCGAAGACGACTAATCCTTTCGCCAAAGGGTTCCAACTAATCAAATTACGGTTTTCCGAATCAAATCTTGTCTTTTATCTCCAAGGTTAAATTTAATCTAACTCCAAGGCTTATTATTACTAGAGGCCAGATTTTCATGCAATCGCATCTTTTTTTTTTTAATAGCTCCGAATTCAGCTTAACAACGACAGCAATTTGATTCATGAAGAGTATATTATTTTGCTCGAAATTGGGCCATTTGGGTTCACTCAACGAATTCACACATTTTAAGAATTCTTTTTTTTTCGCATAACATTGTTTTTATTATTCATTCTTCAGTTGTAATTATAAAACCACAGTTTTTACAAATCCAAATAATTGAGCGAAGAAGTTATAAATTTTCCCTTACCCCCTTATATAGAAGTAATAACCTTGTAGGGGATAAATGTAGAGGTTGCGCTGTATATTCAGAAAATTTTAATAAATTTATGTAGTAATAAGCAGAGACTTTGGAAGAAGATGCTTGTTCAAGAACAAAAGTAAAGAATGATTAAAAAATTAGAAAACGTATTAAAATAAATAAATAAAAATAATTGTAGTAATAAAATTTTATCAAAATACAACAATAGATTCAATTTTAAATGCAGACAAATCTATTTTGGTTGTTCTACTCAATATTTTTAATTTCTAGTTACTGTAGATTTTCTCTTTTAAAACATGTAGCTTATTGACAATAGGACATTAGAAATGTACAGAGCACGAAACGTTAAGAAAAATAATTTATTTTACTCTTTCATTTCAAGAAAATTTTATCTAATTTACAGTGAAGTAATTGTTAATTACTTAAATTAAATATGGCTTTAGTTATCGCTTCCTATTCATTAAAAAACATAATTTATTTTACTAAAGCTCTCTCGCTCGAACTCCACTGGCTTTAGCACCAGTGACGCGGTTGAGAGAGTAGCGCAGGGATCTCTTGGAGTCCTGCTTTTCCTTCTATAGTTGGAGGGAGAAGCCTGGCTTGGGGTTCCCCGTCTGATTGTATATATTGTATATAGGTATGACTGTGTTTTTAATTTACTTATCTTTAGGATATTATATTTTTTTATTGAACATAGTTTTTGATTATTATTTTACATTTGTTAATTTTATATTTTCTGTATATATGGTGTGAATGTGTTTATATATCACTACCATCTATTGTCCACGTGACAGATTGTTATAATTCTAAATAAATAAATAAAAATAAAAATAAATTATTTTAAAAACACAAAACTTGTATTTCCTACTTTTTAAATTAAATTAGCCTATTGTTTATATGAACTTTTTGTAGCCTTTATGGATTCTTATCACTCCTATAAAAATATCTCTTCAATTACGGGACAACCTGTATATGCATTATAGGCTTTAAGGTTTTGTGCATTTCTACCGCTACTCATAATTGATCTAGAGGATTAAAAACTTGTATTTGAATAGAGATGGTTGCCTCTTGCAGCACGTGGCTCGAAGTGGTCGCTGCCGCAAGAGTATGAATCTTTTACACAGCCTGCGGCACGCTCATTAAATTTAATCAATTAACTCGGATTTGTTCCGAATCTGTCCACCCGGGTGGGACTAGAACGCAAGGGAATGGGTCCTATTTTACATTTCTTCTAAAATGTTTCGGTACATACTGAATGTTTCTAAAAACAACACCTATATAAAATTATACCAGAGCAAATCTTCTTCGCAAAATAATCTACTGATATATTTGCTACTAGCCGATGTGCCCGTCGTTGACGGCTGTATAGTTAAAATTTGAGAATCTTTTTTTTGGATGGATTTTATACTATGGAAGGAGGGTCCAAATTCAATCTCATAAAATTATGTCGGTAAGGGGGACGGTTTTTTTTTTTTTTTTTTTTTTTTTTTTTTTTTTTTTTTTTATGGCGGGACTTATTGAAGTCAAGGTGAAGCAGTAGTCATAACAAAAACTTTGTTATCCGGCTATTTGTTTATGTACCACACAACTAAACCGACCACCGCCGATCCATTAAAATTTGTTAAGTGTTTCATTTTCATTTATGAAGAAGCGAGGATATTGTGGAGTCGATTAACTAATCAAAAAGAGTTGTGATCTCTCCGCTTCCTTAAACTCTGCGGAGTTCAAGGCCAATTGACCAAATTAACATTGGACATTGAGTCACCTACATCCGTGTAAAGTTAGAACTTGATCTGAACATTGTGGTGGGCGGGGTGAAATTTTTGGGAGTATTTTTTTTTTCCTGATTTCCGGCTAATCCCTTTGATTAATCCTAAAAATGTATACGACAACATTTGCTAGGTTCGGGAAGATGAATGACTCCTTGAGCGGAAAGGTCGGACAAAGTTGAAAAATGAATGTGTTTTGCCCGTTTTAAGCGACAACGCGTTACAGATGTCCGGTATTTCGGATTTTTCTCGTTGAGTTTTGAGAATTTTTTCCATCAGTTGAATGGATCAACTTTTAAATGTGGTCCGCGGTAGAATAGGTTGGTTGAGATGTAAGTAACTCCCTGACCGGGATCTCTAGACGAATTACTCAAGAATTCATAACTTTGATTCTACTCAATATTTTGCTTTCATTTTAAGCCTATATTATAAGGCAAGCCAACCTAAGTATAATGTCAAAATTTCAAAAGTCTACCATTAGCCAATAACGAGATTACCCCTGACTAGTGTTGCCCAAATGCGAGGCGGAGACGAGTCTTGGTCTTGCAAACTCAATCTTGGTCTAGGTCTTAGTCTTGCGCAAGACTCTCGTTACAGTCTTGCAGTTACCTATTAGCTTGTTACTAGAGAGATATTGCTGTATTTTTTTAGATATGAGAAACCTAACTAAGTCTGAGTGAAACATTAGAAGAATTAAATGCAAAAGTATATTGGTTACACCAAATCTTTACATATAGTAACTAAAATTGTCAAGTATTAGTAACTATTTTGCTTCAATTTTTATTCAAAAAATCGATTTTTTTTTAAGTCTTGGTCTTGGTCTTGCAACAGATAGGCGGGGTTGGTCTTGGTCTTGCAAAGTGCAAATTTCGTTGGACAATGCGGACATCCAGCCAGACAAAATTTTTTTAAAAAGTGTATTTGGTGTCTGTAATGTTTAAAACGGAAATATATCATGAAATGGGTTGATTCTATTCAATGTACAGATAAAACTTTTTTTTTATTTATATAGATGTTCTTTAACCTATAAGCATATGTTTATTATTAAAATTTATTACCAACATTAACCGAGATCTGTAGACAAATTACTCAAGAATTCCAAATTTTGGTTCTACGCAATGTTTTGTTTTCATTTAAAGCCTATGTTTTAAGTCAAACAGATCCTAATATAATGTAAAAATTTCAAAACTCTACAATAAGCCATTGCTGAGCTTACCTCTGAAAAAATGTCGTTACAATGAGGACATACAGACAGACAAAAATTATTTTAAAAGTGGATTTGGTGTCTGCAATGTATGAAACGGAAAGATATCATAAAACGGGTTGATTCTGTTCAATGTACACATAAAATCTTTATTTTATTTATATAGATTGCATATGGTTTTGGTGACAGTCGATTAAATTTTTAAAAAAAATTTAAAGTCTGTTTTTTTGCCATTCTCCTTCAAGTCATGTTGTTGTTATTGGTTATTTTGATGGTGCAGTTATTAGTTATTTTGATGGTGCAGTTATTACCAATATTATCAGGTCGACTTTCTCACCAACTGTACAGTGTAGGGGAGCTTTAGCAAGTTGACTTTGAGAAATAATGGGAGCACAACCGCTTCAGGTGGTAATTTCGAAAAAAAAACGTCTGCCAAGTAAGGTCAGTATAGCTTCCTCACTGTTTTCATTGGCTAAAATATATCTATATTACTAGGTATACAATTTTTCTTATGAAAATAAAATATCAGGGAGAAACCGATTTGGAAGTTACCCTTCAACATTCGCGGGTTTGATATCCACGAATTTCGTTTATCAGCTAATATTAAAATGCGAAAGAGTGCCGTAATTGAAGACTTCATATTTGCTTATCGTTAAAAAAAAAAAAAAAAAAAAAAAAAAGAAAAATTTATTGTTTTACAAGAGTGAATAAAAAATCATTACTTCTTTATGCTTTAATAGTATGATTTCATATTTTATTGTCATCTGCTATTTTTCATAGTAGCAGACTACTTATGCCAGTTGCAGACTACAAAATGTCACCTTTGGCACAAATAGAATAAAAGATGAAAATTTTTACATACGATCTTTTGCACTAATAGTAGTGATATATACTTAATATGCATGTTTTCACTCGTAAAATGGATGGAACTAGAAAATCCATAGGAAAAATTAAAATTGTTGTTTGTTCGGAGTTGACGTGACCAATACTTTCCTTCAGTCAGAACAAAACGCTATTAAGCTAGAAAATATGAAAATATGGGCGAAGTTCACATAACTTCGATATTTAAGGAGGAAATCGAGACCAAGACGAACTGGTTGAACTTCAATGGAACTAAACACAATCTCAAATAAGACGTTGTTTTCTCCAAACTCAGAGTATAAATTACTTTAAATTTCTTGAAAATTACAAGAAATCTAAGTAACGCCAGTAAGTGTCATGCCAGTAACGTTTGGAATCGACCAAAAAATACAGCATAATTATTTTTTTAATAAAACTTAAAATTTTATGAGCCCATAACAATATTGCAATAACCTAACTCCCACTACATATGATCAATACTTTCAACATTTCGCAGCCATTATATTGTTACCAATTATTTATATTAATTTTAATTATTAAATGGAATTCAATGAAGTTGATACTAAATAATTTCTATACTGTTCTCCGAATTTCCTCCAAGTTTGGGTCAAATCGAATGCGCCATTTTCATACTATGGGTATATCAAATAACACATTTCCTGATCTGAAAGCACAATATTTTTTTTTTTGAGTTGTAAACAGAATTTGATAATTGGTGCCTATTTCATTTTACGTTTACCAATCCATAAATTCTCTCAAAATTTGAGCCAAATCGAACTTGCGGTTTTACAGATATATACGTATCAAGGAAAACACATTTGCACATATATAAGAGAAAGGAACGGATAGAATTCCTTAAAGTTGACCCTACATTATTTGTTCACAAATACCTACCTTTTTCCCATTTCGAGTCAAAGCGAACGAGCCATTTCTGAAATATTGGCATAACTACAAAAATTTGTTTTCGCGGGGACCATCGAGACAACAACCCCCACAATTCCTGAAAATTTCATGAAAATTGGATGAACGGTAGTAGGTGATATGCCCGGTATTTCGATTTGACTACAGACAGACAGACACCGAACCAAATTTGATCCTTGATGTATGAAACGTAAAACGCGAGTGGAAATTTTCGATTCTGAGTACAAAATGTTTTTAACCTCTCGCCCGAATACAATGCTTCTCTACCTTCGGTAGTGAGGAAGCAAAATTAATATTGTATAATGTCTGTATATACTGTATGTGTAATAATTTATTAATGCGTGGGAAAGGGGAAAACAAAACGGTCATTATTTATATTTATTTTTTCATAAATATCTTCGTGAATTTTCAGTTTAGCCAAAATCAACCCCTATACTACATCAAAAAATTCTATTAGTTATTTAATTTGGATTGTTATTTTCAATGATCAACCTTTGTATTCGACCCAAAAAAAAAAAAAAATAAAAAAAAAATAAAAATAAAAAAATAAATTTATAAATAAATTTTTATAAATTTTATAAAAAAAATTATTTCAAGTATCAAGATACGTAGAATCCAAAAATGGAATAAAAAAAATTCCGTCAGTCCCAGTGGCAACAGGAGATGAAAAATAGATATTTTACGGTCATGTAGTCCGCAGAAAATCTTTGAGAACTATTAGTGAGGCTACTAGAAGAATGCCAAAACCCGGATTGCAACCAAAGAAGATAATGCTTTCTAGAGAATACTCTGTCGTATTCTTATCATGTACCATATAAGTTATTAATTATTTAATTAATTCGAATTTGAAAAATAATTAGTAGTTAAAGAATAATTAGTTGTTAAAAAATAATTTCATGGACTGAATTTTTGGTATTTGGTAGCACGGAATAAAATCATAAAATGAAATCTCTCAAACTTTCATCTCCTCGCATAATCATGCTATCGCTTTATTTATTTTATAAAATTGATAAACAATTTAATTTTTTTTAAAGAATATATATCTCATGAATTGAATTATTATTTTAACAGTCAAAAATTTTTAAACCATAATACTACGTCGTTTATTCGTCCTAGTCAAAATCGAGACAGGACCGATTAAAATGAAATTAAAAGTGGACTACGAAAATTGATTTATAGCTTCTCTGTGTAGTAACATATGATGCATTTAAACTGATTAGATCAGAGTATTGTAACTTTTCTTGAATATTTGATTTAATTTAAGTATATAAACGATTTTTGCTATTTAATAGTCTCTCACAAGGCCCGTTAATTTATTTATTTTTTATCAACCGATCCTAAGTGTTTCCATCAATCACAATAAAAGTGTTGCCTAGGCTATTGAAAAACGTAACATACATAATCCCTCTTTTTTCACACTATAGCAAGATTTTAACTATTTGTTAACCTGTTAATTTCCCCTTTATTAGTTTGCTACTCCATTAATTCTCTTAATATAAGTTCACAGGTCAAGATTAGTTTTAATAAAAACAGCTATCTCATTTGTTTCAATAAATTAGTTAGCTAAGTTAACTTATTATGAGAGAAAAAAAATGACCCATATCTTTTATCCCCGATTAATCCGGAGAGCCGGTTGAATGGAGTTCTGCAGCAGATATTTTATAGAAAATTTAATTATGATTATGATGGTATAAAAACTATTTTTCTGTGACTTATAGGCCAGTATTTCCATCCAGAAAAAAAAACCTGGAAATACTGGTCTATAAGTTACAGAAAAATAGTTTTTATACCAAGTATTTAAGTTCATAATATTAATTTTCAATTCACATTTAGAACGCTAACTTTTCACTTCATGTAGTATTGCACACTTCTTCAGTCCGTAAACTTGATATAACGCAATCGAAATCGATTAAAAAATTTTTATATATGTCTCTGCTGTTATCAATCATTGATTAGATAGATCTATAGCAACTAGAAAATAGAAAAGTTCAATCTGTCTTCTGATATACTTACTCAATTTATTTATTTCACTATCAAAAGTAAAATATTTTATTTATTGAAATGTCACTAATATGTGAAAAAGTTATTCTCTTTTATTGTTTATTCTGATTTATTTAAATCAAATATTCTATAAACAAAATATTTTTATGCTATTGCTCTAACTTATCAATTGCTTTTAATATCAGATATTTTATGTTAAATAATAAGTGTTTCGTGAAAAAGAATTATTTCGTGCAATATAATTATTTCACGTAAAACAAATATTATAAAAATATTCCCGGCAGAGACCACGATATTGTTAAATCCATGACTTGTACTTTGTATTGTAAAAGTTAAATTTTTCGTATAATGTAATTAGCTATTTCATAACTACCTATTTTAATGAAATATAAATATATAGTTACATGTATGTAATAATAATAAATATATATATTTTTTACGCTTACCTATTAAACTCGTTATATGTTTATAATTTGGTCAGCAAAGACAATTAGGTATTATTTAGTCAAAAACTGGATTGATAGTGACTCGAATACGCTAGTAAAATACAACGTTCTAAATGCAAGTCTAAATACAACGTTTCCGCGCGTTATATCCTCAATAACTTGGATGGTAGGTAGTAGCGGGATGGAAAGTGGGGACAAGGTGAAAACTGTTTTTAGAAGTTCAACCATTGACGAATGGTGAGAACTGCCTTGTTCGCATTATAAGTTATCTTCTCCAAGAATTTTCCCCGAACTATGATTGTCAGAATGTCCACAACGCCGAGCGTAATAGTTTCTTGGGGTAGGGGTAGCCCCAGCACCGTATCATACATTATATTCCACAGCAATGGTCCTAGAACTGAACCCTCATTAACATCACCTGTGATCTTGTAACTTTTTAATCCAGCTTCTTAATTATAACTTAAGATTCCATCGGTGAAATAACTCTCAATAATCTTTTTAAGGAATTGTGGGACTTCTGTTCTTCGCAATCCGTTCAAGATACAAACCAAGACGTTGCTTCTTCTACTGTGTTGGAAAGATACCTTCATTGAGACAGGAGTTACACATCTAAGAAGAGTTGTGATCTTGACCTAATAATCATTTTCAATGCAAGATTTTGGACATTATCTGGACTGGAAGCTTCATAATTCGCTATTGTTCTGCATGCTATGTCTAGTTCTTTCTCTGTGATTTCCGGCACAGGTTTCAGATCCTGCATCGCTACCTACTCAATGAGCACTTTCGGTATTCTTGGAAATAGCACTGCCACTATTTTGTCTAATAATTCTGGAGAGCTCGCGGGTGATAAGTTTGAACTTTTCAGTTTGGCCATGTAGTGTCTTTCCAAATGTCTTCGTTTACTTCCTCGTGTAGCTTCTTCCATGAGATAAGTTTACTTTCTTTGATTGCCTTGACTAGGTTCCTCTAGCACGAGCTCCGGTTTTCGAGTCTCGTATAGTAAGCGACCTCTTGTTCGCTGGGCTAATCTTATGGTACGAAGACAGGCTCATCGGAAAACAGCGATCTTCACCAATGTGTTGATTTCTCCCGGAAGTCCCTGGTCATTGATGCATCTGCGCGAGCAGGCCCTGTTCGTATTCTCTGACCTTTAACATTTGTTTTTCTTTTTCTTCTTGGTCTTCTGCAGTATTTGCCATTGATCACCGGACTCACTTCTGGGATTAGCTTCATCTGTAGCCGAAATATCTGTTTCCTTCTGGCCGTTAAGTGTCTTTCCCTCCTCGTCGGTCTACCCTTGAGTATCTGCTGCTATTGCTACTCGAGACTTCTCTTTGAAGGGTCGCAAACTTGACTTGGTCTGAGTTCCGCAACTGTTTCCAGCTAATAACCGGTTTCGGTTTTTATCTATCCTTGTCAATTAATCGTAAATCATACGGATTGAAATCACTTCTTTGCGCGTGTGTGCATAATACATTAGACGGTAACGAAAAACATAAGGTAATGAAAGTGAAGGTAGTGTGATGCGCACACCGCATCAGATTTTAAAAAAAATATGTTATACCATCTATTATTTTCACATTCAGTTACTTACCAGCTAACTATTTTAATATTAGTAGTACTTTATTGCGAAGGCTAATGACTTAGATGTTTTAAACCTAAAAAATCAAATGATCAAAATACATATTTTTAGTAAAAGTAGGGTGGTAAGTGAAAGTTTTGTGATGTGAATAACGCCCCATTTTTTTTAGTTTAAACTTAATTGAGGGTCATAGGTGGAAGAAATATGAAATAACCAGCTGGAAATGTAAGGTTTAAGAATGTAGCTATCAGCCTGCCACTATTGTAGATGCATTAGTTGAAAAATTATATATTAATTGATACTGATTTAGTGTGATATTTTTATCGTTATTTGTTTCTTCTCTTGAAGTTGTGATCAACTCACCCGCTTCTATCAACTATTCCTTCTATCAACCATTCCATATCACAACCATGCTTAGATTGGCGCAACTAGGGAAGTTGCCTATAATAATAGCATTACCTCTTTTTATGTTTAAATAATTCGAGTAAACTTTAGATCTTAAAATTATGCTTTTTTATAACAGCGACAAAATTTCATTTATTACTAGAGTAATATATTGATAGAAATTTAAATTTTTGTATGTTCAGCTTTTGGGACCAATAATTATGATAAATATATGGGTGTTATTTAACCAGCGCATTCATTATTTGAACTAGAGATGGATCGGATTGTACAGATACTTTGATCAGATCTGATACTAAAAAATATCTGATACAACCAGTAAATACAACCCAAAAGTATGTGATACAGATGCACATATGGATACAAATGGTTGTCGAGACTTGGCAGATTGATATAAGAGGAATTATATGTTTTTAGTTATATTTTTAATTATAGACAATATTTTTAGAACTATCTATTCATTTATTTTAATTTAGTTAAATGTTTATCTTTAGATATATATATATATTCACACTTTTTTTTTTTTTTTAATGTAACGTTAATTGTTATAAACTTTCTCTAAAGTTAACAATTCATTTGTTTTAGTTCACATTTTATGACTTATTTGTACATAATGCATGTAATTAACTCGTAATTACCATTTTATACTTACACTTTAATTGATTAAATATATTTTCACATCTACTATTTTAGTATAGTTTTGTTATACTTCTTTTTATTTTAAACTCATAATGTTCATTCATAATAATATTTAGAATCTTTTATTAGGAAAAAAATTTCTCTTTTGTTAAATATAAAGCATATTTTATATTTGTTTAAAAATTCTTTACATATCTGCATAGTACCTGACATAACTATATAGTCATTAGAACTATCATATTTTTAAAAAATACACAATATATATATATATATATATATATATATATATATATATATATATATGTTTTATTAGGTATCAGATACGTATTAAATATTATTATTATTATTATTAAATAACAAATTATTAAATAAAATATCAAACCCTATAGTCGGATTAAAATATTCGATACAGTTATTGGAGTATCAAGATCAAGCGCCAGTATGCATACCACTCGGGTATCTGATAAAAATATTCAATGCAAGTATTAGATAAATATATCCGATACAAGTATCAGATAATAATATCCGATACAATATCAGATAAAAATATCCGACACAAGTATCAGATAAAAAGTAATAGGAAAGTAATGACAAACTACTGACCCATTTGTATCCGATATAAAAGTATCAGATAAATTATCAGATACAAAAAAGTACTCGTATCAGTTGTGGCTAGATACAGAAATTTTGGTATCAACCCATCCCTAATTTGAAATACTGCCGAGCTTGTAGCTGTAATTCACAGAAGATATTAATAGAGTTATGGAAATCACAGAAACCACTGACTACGTGGTTTTAACTTAAATCGATTGTATTTTCTTTGGAAATGAAATGAAACAAGCATACATCAATAATATGGAACAACTAAAAAGTTCATTAATTACTTTTTCCAGGCAAAAATAATCTATAAAAGAACTAAAATGGGTTGAGAAAGAAGTGGGGAGGTTCAGTAGCGATGCGAACCTTATCGCGATTGGAGGGGTAGGTTAAGCGATTGCGTTGGGTTGTCACAGACTTCAGTTTTATTGGACTCTATTTTAACTTTTGATTTTTTATTTTCTTTTTATATTTATTTGTGAAAAGTAAAGTTTCTTGGAAATTGCAGAACGTATGTAGTTTTGATGGTTGAATAATTTTATAAGCTATGACAATAGTTTCAAAGATATTGACTTATTTATTTATATTACAGCTATCAGAAATGAGTAATGTTATTGAAGATTTTAAACCCAGGGAGTATCAAGCAGAACTCTTTGAAAGAGTTCTAAAAGAAAATACAATAATCTTTTTACCTACTGGCTCTGGAAAAACGTTTATTGCTGTAATGCTTATTAAGCATAAATCAAATGAATTGAAACTGTAAGTATCTTAATATTATTTTGTAAATGCTCAACAGTTTGTTTTCGTTGAAAACAAAATCAGTGTTAGAGTTTAAAATTAGGAAATACTAATAGAAAATTGGTTTGATGATTAAAATATCAATTTATATTTTGTGACTGATATAATCATAAGTCTAAATAGCTATTGATAATTTTTAACAACCGTTTCTATACACCAGTTTCTGTTTCTCTTTCTGTACCACTAAGTTTATACTCGAGATAAAATATTTTATTTCTTGTTTAGGGCGCATGGTGGAATCCCTTCATTAACTGATGTAATTGTTACTAATTAATTTATTTATGGTCCATTATGCACTATATATATTTTTTTTTCAAAAATCAGATTTCCTGAAATTCTGTCAATCATAAATGCTATTAGTTATTATTTAGTTGCTTTGTAACTGATTTTTTTTCCAAGGAACTATTCACCATCCAATGAAAAATTTTGTTAAACTATTGGCTTGATATGTAAATACTCTATTGTCACCGACTAGTAAATGTTACCATTTGATTAAACCGAGTTGTTATTATTGGTCTAATAAAAACAAATCTAAATATCATGGAGTACAGATTATAATTAGGTATTATCCTCTTGAGCTATATCCATGCACATCTCTATTAACTATTAATTAATAGATAACTAATTACTATCATTAAAGCAATATAACTAACATTTTATTAATGTGGAACTTAACATGTTTATTGATGATTGTCATTTCTTGTAAAAACTTCCAACTTATAACTTAACTATCAACAATAAAACAAGTTATTTTTTGTTTTGTATATTATAAACCAATTTGTTTATAATATTGTTTTTTAATGCCTGACTGATCCCCGACAGTAAATAATTATTAGTAATCATTATCAAATACATATAATTAATAATGAGGAATAGTTCAGAATGTTATGATCATAACCAAGAATGTTGTAGATGCAATATTAGTGCCTTACCATTCTGTTGTGTTTCAATAATTATTTCTTAATATTCTTTTATCATCCTGAATGTTAAAATTTGTAGTTTAAAAAAATTAATTGAAACTTTGTAAAATTGACACTTTTTTTAAATGGATAAATATAAAAATTTGATGGATATGTATAGAAGCTTATGAAGATTTGATTTTGTCTTTATACTTGTATTAGTGACCCCTAAAATTTATAACAAATCTTAATGGGCCAATTATTCCACTATGTGTGATTTTCTATAATATCATTAAAATAAGTAATTTTGTATTGACCATTTTTTTCTACTTCAATGACATAACTTGTTATGTCATTATTTTTGATCTTGTGGAGGCCACATTAGAGTTTCTTAACACTTGGTTCCTCTTCGGATTTTAAAATGAATACTAAGCATTAAAGGTTTAAATTTAATTAGTATCATAAACTCAGAAATAGTATGGTTGGGAGTGAGTAATTGGATGTTTGGTACCACTGTAATAATGTCACTCAACTTTGTCTACTGGGCCAATATCCCGTGTTAATGTTATATATGGTATTCCAATAACAGCTGAGGATTGACAATGTGTTCACAGCATAAATTCCCTTTAATTATGTCGCAATTTAAGCATTTAGGCAAACTTCCTACTGATTCTTCTCAGTTAAAATCAGGGCATTAATTAAATATCTACTTTAGATTCCCGCACACTCAAAAGGCGCAAACAAATTTTCAATGGGTCCTTACCACACGGTTCGGTCACTTTTGTATATGCTCGGCCATTCTCTTGATTCAATTTATAGTATCATGAGATCTTATGCAACCTATGAAAGTGGAGTGACATTTGTACAGTAGTACTGAACCGTTTACTTCATAGAAAAAGCAATTAAGCATATTTTAATGCCTTTTTAAATTATGTTTTGCTTGATCTAAATGACTTAATTATGTATATTTATTTAATATTTTTCTTAAATTTTGTAGATTATATTCTGAAGGGGGTAAAAGAACCTTTTTTCTTGTGGACACAGTGGCATTAGTCGCTCAGCAAGCTCAGAGTATTCGACAGCAAACTCCGTTAACGGTTGGTGAATATAGTGGTGACAAAGGTGTGGACCATTGGGACATCAATCAGTGGCATGAAGAGCTTGAAAATCATCAGGTATTTGTTTATTTTATTTTATTCTTATTCAGTAATGGAATAAAGTGAAATCTTGGCTACTCTATTATTAGCTATCATTTGGCATACATCTTGTTCTAGCTTAAGATGGATTGGGCTAAAGATCCTAATATGAATCCCTATTCTGCTACTACATATTTGTAGACCCATAATTGGTGGTTTGTTTAGCTTTTAGGGTAGTATTATTAGATGGTCATAATCTATGTAAAGATGTAATATGGGTGATAGATATGCAGGACGCAGTCATTTTTAAGGTTTTTATTAGTGCCAACATTTCAACCCAAGCATGTGGGTCGTCATCAGGGCATGTTTCGATCACTGAAGGTGTTCAAATACTGAAAAAATGACTGCATCCTGACTATTTATCACTCATGATATTTAGAACAGTCGACCAACTTCCTTCAATAAAACTGCATTAATGGTTTAAAAAAATTAATAATACCAAACATCATTTGAATTATTCTAGCTTTTTGTATGTCTCAGTCTCCATTTTGTTGTCATAGGTTTCTTGCACTGCTAATGTCACGAAGCTCAAATTTAAATGCTCAGAAGCTCCACTGTGGAATAGGAGATAAAATCTCTTGCATGAGTATCATGATTAGAAGTCCATTGAACATGATCTTATTGAAGCAGTAATGATTTTAATATCCAAAAATATTACTAATTTACGACACATTAAAAGGTGGGTAAAGCTGCTATTTCGCTGGTACTACCCACTGAGTCGACTGCTGACAGTTGAGCACTGCTTTACTGGAATAGAAAGGAGCCTATTTCGTTGACTGCTCTTTTATGACCGTTTCAGATGCAGTGAAACTGTCCGCAATACAGTGGTTATAGGTTATGTTATCATTGAAGCATTGTTTTAATGATAACAAGTCACTGTGATACGTTTCACTTTTCTTTTCTTTTTTTATCATTGAGTCAGGCAAAATTAAATGAAATATTGTTTATAATTTAAACAAAGCTATAGTAAATAATTTTATTAAAGATAGAATAACAAGATTACTTTTTTTTTAGTTATTTCATCAAAATTATTTTACAGAGAAATTCAAATATATGTATGTAGACAACTGTTAATATTTTATATTATAGAAATAATCTAATTTTGTTATTCAACATTTAACTACCAGATGAAATATCGTTTATTAATTTAATAATGTCAAAACTCTGCCATTGTATGTACTGCTATCCTTGCAATACAAATAAAAAACTTTACAACTTTAAGCTGACATTTTTATTTAAAATTATTTCAAACTAGGATGCTTAATTGAGAAGATTTGGCCACGACGGTTAGCAGTTTCAGCGAAATAGACAAGTATTAATGGTTGGCAGTATGGAATGGCGGTCGCTGCTTTGGGCATTACCACAAAATAGTATCTTAATGTAACCAAACCTAATATCACTTAAGAACGATTACAGAAGAAGGCAGTCCTTAACAAAAACTATTCCAAACAACTGGGAACTTCATCCTTAATTTCTTATTAACCCAAGTTTTGTTGTTAACTGGAGTTTCCTTTATTTATAAATTTGTATTGATCTGTTTTTTTGTTATATAGGTTTTGGTGATGACTGCTGCTATTTTTTATCACATGATTCTTCATAGTTATATCACGTTGTCTCGTGTCAATCTATTAGTTATAGATGAATGTCATCATGCTGTCAATAGACATCCTATGAGATTGGTGAGTAATTTATATTATTTTCTCATTTCTGATTTATTTTAAATGCCATTATGTCAGATGAGTTTTATAATATTTTTTCTTGTTCATTTGATTAGATCATGGATCAGTTTAAAGGAATTCCTCCAGAGGATAGGCCACATGTTCTTGGTTTAACTGCAACACTTATAAATTCTAATTGTAAACCAGATCGTATCCTGAAATTGATTCACAACTTGGAGATCACATTCCATGCTAAAATAGCCAGAGCTGAAAATGAAGAAATGATCCAGGCGTGAGTTCCATTCCCAGCTATAAAACTGCATTGATACATACATACATATATATATATATATATATATATATATATATATATATATATATATATATATATATATATACACACACAGTAGAAAATGTTTTAATTTAATTATAGTCGATCCCCATACAGATGCCACCTACAGGAACAATGATTGGCAATTTTTTTACATTATTTATCTGAAAGTAAACTCATGCTTAATATTTATAGGCTTTAATGAAGTGAGAACTTATTTTAGATTGCAAAAATTGATTATTATTTTTTTTATATTAAATTCTTATGATTTTTTTAAATGAGGTTTTTTTTTCTTACATTTTTTATTTGATTAATGCAGAAATATATTTTTTCTTGACAAAATGTTTAATATGAATAAAAAAATCATTTGGTTTACATAAATAAACTGTATTCAGCTAATAGAGTCAACAATTTCCAGATGTGTTCCCAATTGGGAAGAATGGCCGGATATAACAAAGTGTCACTAGACCTGTAAGTTTTGATTTGCTCCTCTTATTCCTTCCAGTAAATCCAATTTATTATTTCAATTGGTTTTATAGCATTGATTCGTAATGAATGTATGATTCTATATTATCCTGGCTGGCAATAATTAAGGTCTGTATGGTGATTATTCTTCAAAAATGTTCATTTTTGGAAAACAGATTTAAAATCTGTATGATTTGCCGAATTAAATTAAACCAAACACGAATACTTGAAGAGTTGCAAGTTAAATACAAAAATCTTGCATATAAAATTGTAATGTTGTATTTAAATTTATGCAAATAGTGCACCCAAGAAAGGTATTATTGTGAAATCAATGGTCAGTTCTGAGTTAAACTCAAGATGTCTGATAGATCTGCAGTCAAACAGAAATAGTTAATATAACTTCATGGTGGTGTATCAAGATCATTTAACTAAGTTTGTCCAGCTACAACCTTTGAAAAAGAGCTGAAGAAGTTCTGTATCACATTTTTAAAATATTTTTAACATTTGGTGCACCAGCAATATTGCAATCAGATAATGGTAGAAAATTCAGTAATCAAGTCATATTCAAAATATGCGCCGTAAAGTAATTTTTTTATTACACTTGTGATGTTGCGACTGATTTCGGATAAGAAAATATAAATCTTCGACATGTTCAACATTCACCATTATTGCATAGTGAATGTCAACATTTACCGGTGTAAGTCAGAAATAAGGGTATTAAGCAAATATTTCCGACGTACACCAAGCAACCATGTGAGTGTTGACATTCTCCAGATTTGGGTCTTTCACCGTAACATATACATATCATCATCATAATCCATCGCCTGTAAATCGCTCTTCATCTCATCTTCCCATTTCCTTCTAGGTTGCCATCTACTTTAGCTCAATAGACTTCGCTAGCTATTCTGTTTGATTTCATCCACAGTAGATGTCTTAGCCATCTCAGTCGATTCTCTTCTTTCACATCATCGGCCGGCTTAATATTGAGGTTAGATCTGATGATGGTGTTGCCTACTCTTTCACTTCTCATTTTCTCCTCAATCTTTCGGAGGAATCGCATTTCTGACGCTTGTGTTCTTGATCGATGTTTCTTTGTCAGCAGATTGGAGAAAATGGGAAGAAATGTCAATCTGAAAACAGCCACCTTTGTTTTCTTTTCCACCTCACGCTTGTTTAGAAAACCTTTCTTAACTGCTTCAAACATCCTACTCGCAGTAGCGATTCGCTCGCTCAGTTACCTCTGAATCAATGTATCCATTTTCACTAAGGTGTACTCCCATGTATTTGAAGTTTTCTACCTGCTCGAGGATTTTGTCTTCAACTCTGATACCATGCATATTTCTCCTAGGCTTCTTCCTAACCCTCATTACTTTCGTTTTTACAGGGTTAACATATACATATGTAGAAACAAGAAGCTTTGTCATTAATGTCCATTGTTCTCAATTGGGAACATTCTGAAAATCTTAGTAATTTATTTATTTTATTTTTTTTATCAAATACTAGCAATTGGTATATTGCAGTTGACAAAGTAGATATCCAGTTTTTGCCAGTTGTTTAAGCCAGTTTTTGCATAGTAATTCTCTACTTAATCTGAATTAATTTTTGAACATAATGATTCATTGATCTATCATAACCATATTTTTCTATTGCAACATTTTTGTTCGAAGTAATCTTAATTTAGGAGGAAGACTAAATAATCCATTTTTGTTTTCAAAGAAACATAATTCTTGTAACAAAGTAATATTTATAACTACCATTTCAATCAAGTACCAATCAAATAAAATATAATATAAATACTATTTATTCCACTTGAAGCCAATATTAGTTACTAATAATTGATTTTATCTCTTTATAGATTTTCTACTAATCCAAAAGAAGATATTGTTCATTATGATGAGTGGCAGGAGGACGAATGTTATACTGTTGTGTATTCTTTTATAGAAGAAATGTTTGCTATATTGAATTCAATAATTCTCTTTGATAATTCTCCAAAACCATCTGACAGTCCTCCAAATGCTACCCTAATAAACAACAAATCAGATACTATCAATGAAATCCAAAATATTCTTAAAGAAATAGTTGTAAGTTGCTTTTTCTACTTATTCGGTTAAAATATTTAAAAACACTTAATCACTTAAAACAGATGAGTGAAAGAAAATTTGTTTTATAAATATTAGTAATTTTCAGAAATTTGTTTATTTGTATCAGATAGGGTTGGAAGCGGTAAAAGTACACAATTTATTTTTATTTTTTATGGTTAGAAAATTTTTCTGATCTCCTATAACCAATTTATTCATTACGATCAACTGAGATATCAATTTTTACTTTTACTTGCCTATATATGTAATATATAGTAAGGATAAGTATTGTGAACGGGAAAATTTTCGAATCTGAATTTTCAACGGAAATACACGTTTTGAAGTCTCCTGAGTCCAAATAACCATGTCCCACAAAATGGTCTGTGTGTGTATGTATTTCAACAGCCTAGCTTAAAAAACGAAAAGTCTTACAAAAGTGAAATTGCATATTTAAGGTTTTTATATGCTTGGTATGTTATAGCAACTTTTTCACCAAAATTAGCTAACCGGAAGTTGTAGTTTATATAATCGATTTAACCTATTTTTACGATTTTCTCAAAAATGTCTCCAACGATTTTGATTAAACTTAGTATATCAGTGTATTATTTAGCAGGTTTTATTCTCATTGGTGTTCTCTAACAGGGCTTAAATGCCTAATTTTCAATATCAGCTTCCCAAAAAACTTAAATCGCAGTGGCGTGATCTTAAAATCGAGACCATTCTCAAAATCTACGGCTCTGACAACATAAAAATAGAATATCAGAGAAATACGAAAAATGCAAATAAGACGAAACGCAGTGCCATAATCTTAAAATGGAGATCATTTTCAAAACTGTGGCTTTGAAAACATATAAATAGACCCTTATATCGTAGATTTCCAAAAAATTTAAATAAGCCGCAATCAAGTAGTTTAATCTTAAAATGGAGATCATTTTAAAAATCTACGGCTCCCTGAAAAAACCTGAACCCAGCATACTTCAATCTGGCAAGAAGAGGACCAATTTTCTACCCGAAGAAGACAAGAAAGTTTTTTGTGTTTAAATCTTATATGTTTAATAGTCGGTTTATTGTTTGTTTTCATCAGGGCACAGAAAATCATTAAAAAAACTGGTTAAATTAATCAATAACACAAATTGTGTGTTATAATAAATTATAAGACTTACAATGTGGGTTGAAATTTTGGCATCAGGCCAATTTTTTATAATGTTCCATAAATTTTAAAAATATTTTATATAGTTTAGTAATTCTATTTTATAGAGATTATATTTATAGGTTTCATCATAATTTATTACAAATTAAAATTTAATTGGGTATGTTATGGAATTTTCAGCTTATCACCAAAGAATTGGGAGCTTATGCTTCCACTTACGTTTTACTCCTACGAATAGTTTTTTTTGAAAGAATGAGGATTTCTGCTAATGATCCAACTTTAATAAAACTCTTAGGTCATGTTATAATACAGCTTCATTTGATTCGGTATGGTTATCTATTAATATTATATTAACATTAGTTGTAATTTTTAACTTTAATCTAATTTGTTGTTGTATTTTTAGAAAAAAACTTGATCTCATTATGATAAAAGGACCTAGAAGAATAATAACTTATTCAACTTCAAAGGTGATAGAATTGTTCCAATTATTAAAAAATTTCAAAAAGGATAATTTAGCTCTTGTGTTTGTTGAAAGAAAGACGACAGCTAAAGTTATGTACTATGTACTTGAAGTAAGTTCAATCAATTTCTTACTTTTATAAAAAAAAAAAAAATAAATAAAAATAAATTGAAAATGCATATTGGCCTTTAATAAAAGATTCATTAAAAAATACAAGTCAAGTAAATTTTATAAAATTTGGAGGAAAGTGGTCACTAGTTCTAAAACTTTTGTTAGTGGCAAAGACATTTGTTATTTCCTTCCTTATTATGTTATGTATACAGAAGTATTTTTAACATAATTTGTTCTTTATAGTTTTTCGTAATAAAATAGAACATAATATGTTCTTATTAATTCATTATAATTTTTAATTATATTATATCATGATATTATTGGCCAACTTGATCTCTATATGATTTGCTCAGTATTTTTAGTCATGTTTTTCTAACTATTTTAAACTATAGTTCCTTGGTTTATTATGGATTTTTGTTTTCTTTTGTAACTTTTTGTAATATTTCATATTATTCTTAGCAACTAAGTCAATTTGAGTTTATTTGTACAATATTAAGGAATGAAAATTTATTTACTCACTATTAATAGTGTTGATAGATATTTTAATTATCAAATTTAGTTAGTTATCTCTCTTAAATTTGAAATAACATAGAATTAAATATTATGAATTATTTGATAATGTACTGTTGGCTGCTGACTTTCATAGAATAGATTTATACTGGGTACTAAAGTGATTATTAGCTTTCAGCTTATTGATTTTTATTTTTTTTTTTCCATCTCAAATATGCATATTAAATATGTAGTGAAAAAATACTTCCATTGCAATGTCTTTTTATTGATAAAACTTCTCAAACTGACATTTCAGAGGTCTCTATCATCAAGGTTCTATTCTTTATTTGATTTTGATTTTTCCTATATCTAAAGTCTAAATACAAATATTTAGTCATAATATATAAATAAAATACTTTCTTTTTTTTTTTAAACCCTATTCTCGGGAAATCGCATTGGCTTAATAATTCAGTTACATAATTTGTTTGTGCAACTATTATTTATTATAATTATTATTTTTAATAATAATATTAAAAGAATTAGCAAACCCAATGTTGATATCACCTATCGCTGTCTTCTGTACACCTCTATCCACCGGCTGCCATCCAAACACAATTCCGCCAGCTCAGCCGTAACACAGTCTTCTCTCCTAGGCTTTGTTCTACCCCTCAAATGCTTACCAGTTGGCACAGTGCATATTAACCTTTTACGAATTATTTAGTGACTATATTTTAACTAATTACTAAAACAAAAATATTATTTTTAATTAATTGTATTTATGAAATTAAATAGGTATTTAATCAAAGGCTGATACAACAGTTAGACCTCATATTACGTATAAGATATCAAATTACTAATTTACTTAAATGCATTATGCCTGGGCCCATTTACAACAACCAAATGCTTTCAACAATAGAACACTTTTGAAAGATAACAAAATTATGACTTAAAATGTCACACTATTTCTATTGAATAAAATTAAACTCTTAACATAGTAACCAGATAGGTGTGTAACTGAAAAGGAACTGAAAGCCGAATTGAACTATAAACATTTGGAATTTCTAGATCTTACGAAAACGGGAATAAAAAAGCGCCTTTCTCTGCATTAAATAATGAAAAAAACACTATTTTCTTTCAGTATTTCTATTGAACCAAAGCATAAAAATGATGATATAATCATGTGTTTGAACTATTAAAGATATAATAACAAATAAAAAATTTGAATCACTACAACCCTTGAAGGGTCTTGGGTTCAGTACTATTTAGGGAAAGCACTGTTTCTTGGTCAATGGTTGTGCAAGGAGGTGATTTGACCGAGATCAAGCTCGAAAGCCAGGTTTTTCCCTTAATTAATTATTTTAATTAAGGATACCCACTTTATAGAAGCTGGGTGTGCCCCAGGAGGGTCTCCCGACCCAGGGTCGTCCCACGGCCAATGAAACAGATAAATAAATTTTCTGCCATGAGCCGGGGTTCGAACCTGAGACCTTTAGCATTGGAAGCTTAGTATCCTACCACTGAGTTGCCCCACTCCCTTCAAAGATAACAGTCAGTTATACTGTGTTGACTGAAAAGAACCTTAAGCAGTAAGTTTTAGTGGCTGGGTCTACTATTAAGCTATCAAAAACAAAATAAACTCATCTACTGAAGCAAATATCACTAATATTAAAACCCTTTCAGCTTTGAACAAGCATGAAATAAGAAAAGTCTGGAATTAGTTGATGCTTTCAATTACTAAAATCGATACTTTGTTTATTATTTGGGAAAATATAAAATCAAATCAAGTTTAATATGTTTTAAATTCAATTGTCTTTTAGGAATATAACTAGAATACTTTCTTTATGCATTTCTAGTCACAGTTTTTTTTTTTTTAATATCAGTCTCCATGTTTTGTTATTTTTTTTCAGGATTTAGCAGCAACCATTGAAGAATACAAAAACATAAAGCCTGATTTTATCGTTGGTGTAAACAGCAACCCATATCATATCACACGGGAATATATTCTTGAAAGGAAAAAAAATCACATGATTCTGAAAAAGTAAGCTTTAGTTGGTATATTTATTAATATTGACATTATTTATTTATTAATAGGGCAATCTTACTGGTTAATTGGTCTGCAGCCCAATTTTAAGGACATCATAAGGACCTATTGTCTGTAGGTTGAAGTGGGTATTTGGAGGCCATGGAGAACATATCTTTACAAAGCCTAGCAATCCCAGTCTCCTTTGAGAATGTAGTTACGTTCCTTCTCCTTGTTGATTAGCTATTAGCTTTGCTTATTACTCCTTCCTATCCTTAATATTTGCAGACAGTAATGAACCATAATTTTAATACCTGGTGACAATAATACACATTTTATTTCAAACAACCCTAAATGCACCAAGAAAATTTAATGTTCCTATTTGATTAAGATTCTGAATTATTGGACAACTGTTAAGATGAATAATATTGTTCTAGATGATTTTCAATGTAATTATAAATTTTAAATAGATTAAAATATAATATAGTTTAATTTAGAAAAAAAAATAAAAATAATTCAATTGTGACCAATTAGATGGCTGAATCTATCATTCTTGGCAAAATATTTATGTATTTAATGAGAATATAAATCCATGGAATACATATGTGGGAAAATTATTTTTACTTTTAAAAGACTATTTATTGAGGAAGGGTGATGAAAACAGCTGTAACTAAAAATCAATCAATCTAGAGAACTAAATACATACATTAAAAAAAATGAAGTTGGAGTATGAAGAAGAAATCCTTATGAAAGTATCTGAAGAGGTTCATCATAGGACCCAAAGAGCTGGAAGACCAAGGTTAATGTGGGTTGATGGAGTGGCAGTGGATGCATAAAACCTCCCAGGGATCATTAACTGGAAGGCGGCGGTACAAGTCAGAGGCTTATTGAGAAGGCCGAGATTCACTCAAGATTATAGTGTCACGAAGATAGATATTTTGGTAGTAATCCCTCCATCTTTCCATCTCATCCTTCCTGCCTGCCAAGAATCAATCTTCTTTATCTTAACAGAAATGGGTTTGAGGTTGAAACCCTTTTTTTATTGTTCTCATTTCATTCTGGGGCGGATATATTTACCTATAACTATTGTATATATAGCTGATAAATAATCATAAATGATATAAAATGTTCTCTACTTATGTGCTGTTGTGATCAGAAATTTTCAAACTTTTTTTTTTACCTCCTCAACTAAAAAAAAAGATACATGCTATTCTATTAGTTGTGTACACAAAAAATATATACTATTAGTTGCGGACTGCGCCAGATTTTTTAATTATGAACAGAATAAAAATATTCATTAGTTAACCACTGACTTTGTAAATCATATTTCTTAAGGCCGGTTTACAAACAGTGGCCTAGATAACGCCAATGCAACCGATGTGGCGTATTGGGGCCCAGACCCTTAGGGGAATGCAGTGCATAAATGGACATACTCGATAAAGTTTCAACCATATGGTTTATGTATGAATAGGTTTTTGTCATGTTTTAATTACAAAAGTCCTGTTTGAATAATTATTATATAAGTTACTCATTATTATAAAGATTTAGCTCAGCTGAACTTGCTACAAGCTATTATAGTCCATGGTACAGACCCCTTTTAATCAAATTTTTTAATATCCACCTAACACTTCATGAAATGGCTTAATCTTATCATAATCCTCCATACCGCAAAACATAGGGCTGTAGAGGGATACCAAGAGCCCCAGGAATTATTTTTCTGGATCCTTTATCATTTATAATACAGATATTTGTAAAGATAATAATAATAGTAAAAGGCTTAGCGAACCCGAAGGTTCGATGCCGACACCACCAATCGATGTAAAGATATTATACAATATATTTATATTTTATTTTAATATAGAATAGAATAGAAAATAGAACTTTATTCTGGGACTAAGTCCCCTTAGAATAACAAAGATGAATTAATACAAAATAAAATACCAATCTGGCCAAAAACTAACTTAAAAAAATTCTAACGTAATATACATTATTTAAAAAGTAGTATGTAACCACTGAGAAATAAAAAAAAAAAAAATATATATATATATATACACATATATAAACACACACACATCTATATACATACACATACATACATACATAAATGAACATACAATCTTCTCCAAATTTACTTATTATTATGATATAAAAAAAAAAAAAGACAGAAAAGAAATTACATATATATATATATATATATATATATATATATATATATATATAACTGCACAATAATAGCTATCTAATAGAAACATAATTTAATACAAAATGTAATAATATTCATAAAATAATAAGCAAACACTAAGATAAAATAAAATCTCAGGAAAAATTGTGGTATAAAGGTAAAAAAGGAACTATATATACGTACTTACTCATATTGCTACACAGTGAGACAAAAAGTATAAAATATAAACTTATATATACATGAAAGAAAAAGCACAACCTGAGGTGAAGAGAAATACAAATAAATAATAAAAATAATAGTAAAAAATCATTGCTTATGTTAAGACTTAAACTGTAAGCACCACCAGTTACTTCTCACAAATTCAGTTCATAAAATGAAATTTATGGTTGCGAATCGTCTGTTTGGGATGTGAGGAGATATTGGAAAAGGAGGTATTTGAAGGTTGACAGTGAAGAGGCATGACGGATGTTATATGGCAAAGAATTCCAATAGGTGACGGAGCGGGCTAAGAAGGAACGTTCATAGGTTTTTGTCTTGTGTGATGGAATATAGAGGTCAGAATCACGGGATCTCGTTTTTATTGAGTGGACTAAAGGTTTCGGCTTGAGGAGATAGTAGATATAGGAAGGGTGCTGGGAGTTCATCGTTTGATATAAGAAATTTCCAAGGAAGTATAGGCGGCGGGAAGAGGGGAAGAGCAACTTTGACTCGGAATATAGGTGGGACACATGAGACCATCTCGAAGTGCCGATATAAATTTAGAAGTTTAAAAATAAAACCTTAGAGTACATGCCAGACCCTGGGGCTGCAGCCTGCCTCTTCTCCCTCGTTAAGGAATTGTATTATCCTGTATCCTGGAGAATTATACATCTATAAAAATGTGAAGTAAATATAACTAATGAGACTCTCATTTTAATTGTTTTTTATTTTGTGTTTATAAATCTTTTATGTAAAATCTTTTTAAAACAAATGTTTGACTGGCAATTTAAAAACACGTTTTTTTTAAAAACAACTTTTCTGAAAAATTGTTCTCTACTTTGTATATTCAGGAGGGAAAAATGTTGAGAGGTTAAGTACCCACGGGTAGGGGGGAAGTTAGTATTTAGAAGAGAGGAGAGGAGAGAAGGGGCACTGCTATTCTTAGCTATGCCTGCTGTTTACACAATTAAGTTTCTTGAGCCCTGGCCCTCCAGGTTAGGGGAAACCCAGTGCCGAGGGGTATAGCCCAGCCACTCTTTCTTCTGAGGAGATGTGTTGGAGGAGATAGAGACATTCAGGGTAGACCTAGGAGTTAGAGAAGTTAGGAAAAAAAAGCATGGTTAATGCCTATATAAGGACCATGTGCTTATCTACTCAGGAATACCAGCTGGGTTCAGAGCCTAGGAAGGTGTTGCCATCATCATGAAAGAAAGCCTATTCACCAAAGTAGAAGATTGGTAGTCCATGTCTTCCAGAATTATAAGAATGTATATGGCTCTGTCAATAGGAAATATTGCGATAATACAAGTGTAGGTCCCAACAGAAGATGCAAATGTTCTCGACAAAGAACAGTTCTATACTGATCTAGAGAGAGAGAGAGAGAGGTCATCAGAGGTCAAAACTGTAACAGAGGGATTATCCTGTGTGATTTCAACGCTAGGACCGCAAGAGTCCATTCAAATGCCCATGATGGAGGAAAACGTACCAAAAATAGAAATGGTTAAAGGCTTATCGACTTCTGTAATGATTGCGACCTCCTCATTGAAAACTCTTTCTTCCTCAAAGAAAGAAGCGTTAATAGCATTATAGATTACATTGTGTACAGTAGAAGTATATGGAGATACTTTACTGAAATAAAAGTAATAAGAGATGCTGAAATTGGTTCGGTCCATCTTCTGTTGATTGGAGACACCCAGATCTTACGACCTAGAAAGAAAAGGCCCAAAATACACAAGAAGATTGAAATCGCAAAGCTGAAGAATCCAGATAAGAAAAGTGAGTATGTAGAACTTCTGGATCAGAAACTCAGGTATGTCAATACTGAAGGAAATGTCAACAATACATGGGCTGCATTTAAGAATACAATACTTGAGACTGCTGAAAGTGTATACGGAATGTAGGTAGTCTGCCTCAAAGGTAAAAGGTCAGAGTGGTGGAATGATGTGATGAAAGCCTTAATTGGGAAGAAGACAGCCTGGAAGGAGTATTGTCAACTCAAGACTGGAGCCAACTGAGAGCTCGACGTCAGAAGAAGAGAGGAAGCAAAATTGGTTGTCCATGTGGCGAAGAGAAAGAGGGAGAAATTTGATAGAAGACTTCAGGATGATTACAATTAAAATACCAAGATTTTCTGGAAAAGAATTAAATCAATGAAAGGAAAGGCGAGCATTTTTGATCACTTTCTTGGATTAATTACCTCACTTTTAAATTATACTAGAATCTAAAAATATTGTGTACATATATATTTAGTTATATAAATATTAAAGCTTAGCAATTTGTGTAATGCACTTATAATGTTAATCTTAGTCTATTCAATTTCTTATTATAGATTTAACATGGGTGAGACGAACATATTGGTTGCCTCCGATGTGATAGAAGAAGGTATTGATGTAAAGAATTGCAATTTTGTCATAAAATTTGATTACCCTAAAACAACAAGGTCTTATATTCAATCCAAAGGTCGTGCAAGACACAAAGACAGCAAATACATTGTATTTGCTCCAAACGAAAATTCTGACTCATTTCATAAAAACTATTCAATTTTTAAATTAGCGGAAGAAACCCTAAAGCAGGTATGCAATTTTTTTTCTTATTATTAACACTCCAAGGTAGACTATAAAAAACTGTATTTGTTACAATGATCTATCAAAATAATAAATCTAATTATTTAAATATATATCAGCAATTATTATTGTTTTCGCTATATATACTGGTAGTCATAAAAACTGGTGGATCTTAATTTTTTTTTTTTTTTAAAGGAATATCGTTATTTCTTTCTAAACAGAAAAAAATTGCTGTTTTTTTAATCCAATATAGTGTAACATATTCTGTTTGTTGGAGACCATAAATAAAGGGAAAAACATCAAAAATAAAACTACATAAAATTCAAGGTGTGCCAGTTTCTTTTTTTACCACCAGTTTATTTAAAAAATGGAAGTTGTTTTCTCTAGAAAAAAAATGAGAGACCAAACGTACGTTATATGATCATTTTCAAAAAAATGTTTTGTCATGTGTTAATATTATAACTGATAATACATATATTATTTTCATTAACTTGTGCAATTTTTCAATCATTTTAAATTTAACCTTTGATAATCTGAACAAGCCATGCGATGGATATGAGTGGTGGCTGTATCAATAACCCTCTGTTTTGAATCATTTGAAGCCTCTGAATCAACCCTGATGCACTAGGTTATTTTCCTCATAAACTGAATTATTTTGTCAAAATAGGAACTATGCTATGGCAAAGATCGCAGCAGAAAGGGTGGAACGGAAGCAGAAGCCGAAATATTTCTGTACACCAAAGAAGTTGAACCATTTTATATTAATGGACCAACAGGACCAAAAGTGACAGTTGAATCTGCTATTCCTTTGTTGAATAGGTATTATTATTTGTTTAGTTTAACATTTTCAATAAAACGTATTTTCTTAGAGTGGGGATGTGTAAACTTCAAGCATTAAAAGTCGGATCATTTTTATAAAACCATTTTATATTGAGGACACTTCTTTCAATCCTCGCAGTATTCAATTACACAGCTTTCAGGGCTTCATTTATAATGGCTGTTGAGTGGCCTAACTTCTAAGTAGCTTCCATAGTAGATGTTGGTATCAGGCCATTGCTGAAGATCACCAAAGCCCTCACAGTTTATTATTTCTATTATTAGTCATTTATTTTTAGCAAATAATACATATATTTTAAGATACTGAAATCAATAAAACTAATCTTTTTAGTAAATAAAAATATTAAGTTATTCAAGTACCTGATATTAACTGTTGCAAGGGTTTTGATGCTTTTAAGTTTTCAACATCATAATATCTTATCCAATCGTTTATAAGTTCTTTTTAAATTTAATTTATCTATTATCGTTCTAATAGTTTAAAAAAAAAAATTAAATTGTTAGAAACTTCTAACATTATTTTTTCTAGCTAGGAGGGTTATTTTTTATTCAGTTACTTAAATATTTTTGTTATAAGTTAATTGTATATTATCATATTATGAATTTTAAAAAATCAATCAATAATTGGATGTAATTACTTTCTAATTATGCTTATTTTTCTTACCATATTGTTTATTAACTTTAGTCCATTTTTAATAGATATTGTTTTACGTTACCTTGCGATAAATTTACCAGACTTGCTGTATTTTTTTGGAAGGAGGAAATCATTGAGAATAATAAAATTAAAATTGTATGTTATCTTCAACTGCCTGTAAATTGTCCACTGAAAGGGATAATAAAGGTAAATATTTATATATATATATATATATATTTTTTTTTTTATTTTTTTTTTTTTTTTATATAATTTTGTACTGGTAGAGTTGATCATGCATGTGATTAGTAATTTTGGCAATATTCCAACTATTCGATTAATTTATATGAATTTTGTTGACTAAAATAAAATACCATTTTACTAAATTGAAAATTGTCTTGAACATGTAAGATTTGGTATCAAATATAAGATAATGTTTTAATACAGTTTTGAGTATCTAAAACATCTATCTAATGCCACATTTGTCTGTGCTGGTAATTTCAATGTTTTTATAAAAAATTTAGTTTACAGAAAATGATTAATTTCCAGATATTGAAATGATAATAGTTATGATCTTATCTGGTCTTCTTTTTATTTATAGGCACTTGATGATTTCTGTTTCCATGTTAAAAATAAACTTATTTTCACCTCTATTGTGCTTCTATAGTTAGATATAGTTGTACACCACTAGTGAGGTTGGGCTCAAAAGAATAATTTTCTAATTTTTACAAAATATACTATGTTTATAACATCACCATTACCATCCTAATACTTCCATTTGAATTTTAAGTTTCAGTATCAATAGATATATCTTCTAATGCAAGCATTGCTATGATTTTTCATTAATTGGATAGATATTATCTCCACTTTGAAGTTGTTTCATATTACTTCCAAGTTCACTGATTATTTCCTGTAAGCATATGTATATATTTCATCTAAAATACCCTGATGTTTTGTGAAGACAGGGAAGCCTCCTCTTGGAAGACATGGATAAAGTGATAGATAGATGAAGTAGGACTACATCAAAGAAATGCTAAACTCAAATCAGGCCATAAGAGAAATGAGTTGAGAACAATGCGCATAAGAGACAGCTCCACAAAGTTAGGAACAAACATAAAATGACATAGTTTTAAAAATCCAAACATATTAGAAACAGTAAAATATATTTTTAAAAATGGAAGGACAAGGGAATAAATTCTTATTACTTAAAACTTAAAAAATGTATTGGATTGTTGCGAACATGATGCAGATTTCTTCCATTGAAATGTTTTAATACTAATTTTGTTAAGCAAAGCAAATCATAAATATTCATTCTTTATATTCTGTTAATAATGAATTTAAATTAAGGTGCAGCGATACGCAAAATGTTCGTAACATTAATGAATGTGGGGGTCAGAAGAATGTTAAAGGATGTACTGTGTAGCGTTGGTTCCAGAAGTGAGCATTGTAGGACTGAACCTTAACCACTCAAATAATGGCGATAGGGCTCTGTGTGAACCAAGCCACCATGAATGCCACTTTGAGGCAATTGGTAAGGCAAATAAATTGGCCTAGTGGATGCCATTAAACGGCCTCCAAAAATTGGGTACAGATATATCACATCATTATGAATGCCTTCGTAAGATTTGTCACCAAGACCCTGAGACGCTCCCGTGTTTCGCACCACTATGCTGAGTTAAGATGACTCTTCTCCTCCTTCCGAAGACAATATTTCTTAGGCACATTTCTTTACCAAATAATCAATAATCATCGTCCGTCTTATGCATACAATCTCCTACAATTCAAGTCATCTATCCACACCCTCTCTGCAAGATCTTATCCTTCTGACCTTTACACCGCTTTCCACAGATCTGCCTCATTTAAACATTCCGGTCCACTGCATTTTGGAATTCCATCCCACTAAAAATCCGCCATGCACCATTCTTATCCACATTTAAAACCCTCCTTATTCCAATTGTATAATAAATACTTAGCCCCTTTCACAATTCAAAGGCTAAGTATTTATTATGCAATAAGGCTTTAATTTTATTTATACATTTATTTTTCTTCTGTGTTGAACATGGATTTCCATCATCATTCATAAAGCATTGTGAGTAGGTATAATTTGTTTTTCTTAACTTCTACTTTTCCTATTCATAAGATTGTATTTCTTTGAAATGTATTTTTTTTTCTTCTCTTATCTTTATGTGTGTTCACTTAAACTTGTTAAGGAACAAATGTAAATCATTTAGTTATTTTTTTTTAAATTTTATATTCTATCTCTACAATGCTTTGTCTATAAAATTTATTTAGTATTCCTTTCTAATTTCATTTAGTGATTATTATGTTATTGTTTTAGCTCCAATATTGTAGTATTGTAATCCTATTACCCATTTTTTTTTTACCCTTTTTTCGTTAATATATCCTAAGAGCTATGTATATACTTATTTTATTACTTGTATTTTAGTTATTCCCTATTTTAATAGTTCTTTTGGCCAGATTTATTGTTAATTTAGGGAGTGGGGTAGCTCAGTGGGTGAGCACTGACTTCCAGAGCTCACTGTTCTGGGTTCGAATCCCGCTAATGACTAGTAATTTTTCATTAGCCGTGGATCGACCCTGGGATCGGGAGACCCTCCTGGGGCACACCCAGCCTCTATAAAGTGGGTACTCCTAATTATAAAAAATAATTAAGGGGGAAAACTTGGCGGTTGAGAGTGATATCGGCCCCATCAGCTCCATGCACAACCGTTTGCCTTGAAACAGTACTTCCTCACATAGTACTGCACCTAAAACCCTTCATGGGTTGTAGTGATACAGGTTTTTTTTTCAAGTTAATGTTAATTTATAGGAAGAATATTATTATTCTTAAGAGATCTAGTCCCAGAATAAAGATGATTTTCTATGTATATACACATATATATATATATTTATTTTATTTTATTTTTTTACATTAAATTCTAAAATGTTGTAACTGTTTGAGCTGTAAAGATAATACAGTCCTTTGATTAGAAATGGTTTTGATAAATGCTTAAGATATTAATTTCTGTTCATTTAATCTTTTTTTTTCAGGGGCAGCCATGTGAAAATCTTGTTACTGCCAAGGGAGCAGTTGCACTAACTGCATGTAAAATGTTGTACAAGATCGGCGAACTTAATGATCACTTACTACCTGTTGGAAATGAAGTTCAAGACGATGAAGAAAAAATACTATTTCCTCTCTGGGTAAACGAAAATGATCAAGAAAACTCCCTTAGTAAGCCCGGTACTAAAAAGTGTCGTCGGATCTATGATAAACAGGTAATTATAATTATTTTTTATTTTAAAAATGGCTGTTATGATTTTTACAGAATAATTAATTAATTTAAAAGTTATTAGTTAGGCTTTTCTTATTTTTATGTATTATAGGGTCAATATTGAGAGTGCCTCTCTTAAAATTTATTAATTATTTATTACTTTCATGAACTTTTTTTTTTTTTAGTTTTCCAAGTGGATTTGTGGTGGTTTTCCACAAGCAGGCCAGCCTATCTACATCCACGTTATCAAAATATTACCCAACTACCCAAAACCTGATAACGTTAGGATATTAGCATTTTACAATTTACTTCAATCGAATAAGAATTTCGCTGTACTTAGTTCAAAGAAGTGGCCGAAGGTAAACTTTTCTTGTTACTTTTTCAATTTGATGATAATTAAGTAAAGCTCTTATCAAAGAAGTATTTTATTTTGATGGACCAACGGAACCTAAAGTGGCAGTTGAAACTTATATAAAATTTAAGTTTTTATTATCACTTCATTAAATCTGAGAACTTTACACTTCAACAGCTAATGTTTGAAATGTTTGTATTTGTTTTTCTTTTGTTACAATACAGTAAAAGTAAAATTATTCATTATTTCTTTTTTCAGCTATGTGATTTTCCATTATTCATGAATGTTGGTGAAGTGAGCATAAATATACAACAGAATGCGCGACGAATTACTCTCAGCCAGGAACAGTGTGAACAAATTTTGGCCTTCCATTCTTTGTTATTTACTGAAGCTTTGTTACTTAAAAAAGAATTTTTAGTTAGAGCCTTTGAAAACAAAGAAAACTCATATTACATTGTACCGACGATTGTTGGTACGTTTCCTCTGATTGATTTTTGTAATTTAAATAGCTGTGCTGCATAATTATCCTAGTTTGTGCTAAGTTATTGGAATAAAAATGTGTACTAATTCCCAGATGCAATTAGTGTCAAACTATCTGCTGTCTTAGTTTAATTATTTAACTTTAATAGAATGCTATCATATGTCTGTAATTTGGAATTCCAAGACTACTTGTGCTCTATAAGCACTGAAATATATTCTAATTTTCTTAATTAGGAACAGATCTACAGCTCTTGATTTCCTATAATTTGGTCTTCTGTTATGTAATTGATATATCTATGTAATAGATTAATGTTGCGTTTTTATTTTAGAAGGAGACAGTATCATAATTGATTGGGATACAATAAAAAATCACAAACAAATTCCTCCGGTGAAAACAGTGCCTTTGGATACCAGAGGGGAGGTAGTTGTTTCAAAAGATAATTATCTCAATAAGATAGTTATACCATGGTACCGCCCAAAAGGATACATGTTGGTATGTAATTCCTAAATAGTTTTTTAATTTTTCTTTAAAAAGTAATATTTTAACATTGTAATCTTAGATATAGCGTAGAACTATTTAAATGTTTTGAAATATGTTAATTATTTTGCTGAAACTGGAGGTAATAAATATAAATAAAAGAAAATAACTGAGCATGAAGATTAATATAGCCATGTTCAATAATATTTTCCTAATACTGAAAAACATTGACTCTCATCCCGTTTAACGATCTTGTACCTATTGGGTTAGCAAATAAGTCCTATCATTTTTTCAGAGTGAAATAAAACTCAATGTACTATAAATATTAAATTAAGTGGGTGGGGCAAAAGGTCCCATCCAATTGTCAATAATTTATTGCGAGTGAGCAATGAGGAGTTGGGCCTAGCGTTGTCTTGGTAGAACACAACACTCTTCTGATTTGCCAGTTCTGGGCGTATTGATCCAATTTTGTTAATTTTGAGCAGAGTAGGATTGAATCGATTGTTTGTCCTGATGGCAATAGGTCATAGAAAATAATACCCTTGCAATCCCACCATATGGAAAGCATTATATTCTTTGGTTGCAATCTGGGTTTTGACATTCTTCTAGGAACCTCACTACTAGATCCCCAAGATTTTCTATGGAGTACATTATCGTAAAATATACATTTTTCATCTCCTGTTACCAACCTTTTCAAAAATGGGCCATTTTGTTGTCGTTTCCATAGTGAATCACAAACAAAAATGCGTGTTGCCAAGTTGACTTCGGTTAGAGAGTGAGGGACCCTAACATAAAGCCTGGAAACTTAGCCGAGCTTGTGCAAATGGTTTTCTACGCTTATGTGCGACATATTTAGGGCCATAGCAATCTCTCGCACTGATTGGGTGAGATTTAGATTAAAAATGGCCAGACCATTGAGCATCATTGATAGCAATATTTCCTCAATGGAATTTGGCAAACCAATTTTGACAGGTGCGTTCGGTTAAGGCATCATCCCCATAAACATTGCAAAATTTTCTATGTCCTGCAGTACGCTTACCTTTTTTAAAATAATACAACAAAATGTGCTGATAATGATTGATATTTTCTTCCATATTCACAGTGCAATAGCAAACATAATACTAAGCTAATTTCAACAAGAGTTAACAGATATAGTTGTTGGCGTATTACAAACAGGGTAAACAATCCACCTTAGGGATTAATTCATCAGATAAGAAGAGTATAATAATGACATAAAAATGAACAGAGAAACCGAAAGGACGAAACATTATTTTCCATCCCAATATTTAATAGTGGTTGTGTGTCTGTGCCCCAGATTCCCCCGATCCAAGAATCGATCCATGGTTAAAATAAAATAATAAGTAATTATCTGCTCAGACTGGACTCGAATCCAGGCCTAGAAGTTAGGGAATAAAAGCTAACCCACTTTCTATTTCACTAAAAGAGTGATTAGCTCTAAGCTGACAGGTAAACATCTGAAGAGTTGACTAAAATGTAGGTTGAAGGTTCATGATAGCTCTAACCTCATAGTTATGGGATCCAGGGGAGGGACATACAGGCAAAAAATATTAGCATTGAAACTTGAAGCTTTTTTTTTAATCAAATATTCTTTTTTAACTGTTCTATAATTTCACTTGCTTTCTTTTTTGTTCTACTTACGTTTTTATTATACTTCTTTTTAATTTTACTTTTCAGAAATATGTTGTAACAAGAGTATGTGAAGAGCAGACACCTATGTCGCCGTTCCCTGCAGAGCAATACCATTCATATTCTGATTATTTTTCCAATCGTTACAACCAGTCTATTGTTAATAAAAATCAGAAATTAATTGAAGTTAGAGCTATATCAGGAAAAAACAACTGTTTGTTGCCAAGGTAATTATTTTTGTGATTTTGAAATAATCTTTGACGGTTCCATATACAAAATGAATGTGGATAATGAAATAATGATAATTATGTTTAACAATTTTAACTACTGCAGGTGTGTCAATTATTATTATATGATGAAGTTACTGACTCAGTCCTTTGAAATGCCTTGTTTTTAGAAAATACTGTAAGTGTTATAATTAATACCATTTATACTATCAATCATAAATGAATAATTATGTTGTAAGTGTTATTAATCGTCCTGAGAGACTTGTGGGTTGAGTAAGCAAGTCCTTAATTGAAGTAGAGTCCAATCTTGATAATCCGACAAGCATGGGATTATCAAGAATATTATATTATGGAGAACAAGCTATTAGATTATCAAATATTATTTATGGACTACTGTGGATCCCAATTAAAAAATACAAAATAAGGAATTAAAATCAAAACAATAAAAATTAATAATTATTTATTTAGAAAACATACTTACTATTACTTAAAAATTCGACTACTTTATGTCTGGAAGTGACGAACATTAATGACTAGAAAACTACACAACCTCACTTTCATTTTCCGCACTATAACCAAATCAAACAGTTAATCTTCACGAGCTTTTTGGATTTACTATTGTTGCACTGTTAACATTGTACTGCAATCTAAATTTTTTTCATCAGTTCAAATTATATTGTTTTTAAGAAAAGCAAATTCACCTTCTTTTTGTCTTTATTAAATCTTTTTCGTATGGATACTCATATTTTTACTTTCACTTACCTATATATGAAATATATAGTGAAGGAATGTATTGCGATCGTGAACAATTTTGAATCTCAGTTTTCAACGGAAATACACGTTTTGAGATCCCCTGAGTCCAAATAACCAAGTGATCTGTGTGTGTTAACATTCTAGCTCAAAAATGTAAAGTTGTACAGAAGTGAAATTGCATAATTAAGGTTTTTATATGCCTGGAATGTTACAGCAACTTTTTCTTCAAAACCGGCTAACCAGAAGTTGCACGTTATATCTTTGATTTAACACATTTTTATAATTTTCTCGAAAGTGACTAACGATTTTGATTCAATTCATTTTATCAGTGTAAAATTAAGCAGGTTTTAATATAATGTAGATTTTATTCTCATTAATGTCTCTAACAGGGCAAATGGCTAATTTTCAATATTAGCTTCCCCTAAAGTACCTTTAATTTTTTTCATTTGAAATAATTAACCATTTTACATTAATCTATGATATAAAAAATAGTTAAATATATGACATGAAAGAATTTGATAATTAACTAAAGCAGTGTTGTTGTTTTTTTTTAAAGAAAAACATACCAATTCTATGTGCTATTTGTAATATATAAATCAATGACAGTTAATATTGATAAACGATAGATACCTATATATTATTTAAATTTATTTTTACATTATATTTGTAGTTAATTCATGTGGATATGGTTAGTGCAATTCATTGGCTAGCAAGCTAGAGCATTTATTAAATAAAAATGACACAGTTGGTGTCATCTGAATAATTATTACACTGTTATTAATACAGAAATTAAATTACTTACGAGAAACAATATTAATATTATAATTCCCCATAGGTCACTTTATTTTATAATAGAGAAAATCAGAACTTTATATGTCGAGGATTAACTTTTACCTCCTCTAGGTTTATGAAAATAAAATAAGGAAAAAATAAATTACTAAAAGTTTCCTATCTAAACTTAAAAAAAAAATGTTTCCTCTAAAACATTATATTTTTACTTTCCTACCTATATTAGATAAGGAAAGTATTGCGATCGGGTTAAATTTCCGATATGCGGTTTTCGACGGATCTATACGTTTCAAAGCCTCCCAAGTCCGAAAAACACAATTTTAGCCATTGGTCTGTCTGTCTGTCTATGTAAGATTACAGGTTCATTTCCTGATGTCAAAAAGGGGTGAATGAGAGAAAAAAGATAACTAAGTAAAAGTAAGAAAATCTGTAGCCCGTATCACACAAGCTTCACTATTTCCTCTACTTTTAACAAAAATTATTAGACAAAATTAGGCTATGGCAAAAAGTTTTTGATCATTAATATTAGAGGTATTGAAAATTTTACACTGATCTACCTTAAGCCGGTTTACATTGCTTTAGTTTATCAAATAAATTGTACTCAAATCTTTTCTTTGATAAATTTGCAGGAAACTAAATCTAATACAATTTTTTTTTTGTTGCTTGATGTACATATGTATATAAAAACTTTTCTGAAATCGATAGGAAAGTCGTGTGAGTGGACACACCAGATTTTTTATTTAAAAGTTTTTTAGACAATTTTTTTTTCATATATAATAAATAAATTTAGTTATAAATTATACATTTTTAATATTTGTGGTCTCAGACCTATCGGTCAGGGAAAAATATCATTAAATAGGGGAAATTCAGGGAATTTTACTTTAACTATCTGGTAGCCACTCTGGTTTAATCTATCAGTAAAATATTATACTTCTGGTGCTGTGAATATTCCTTTACTTACAACATTTTTAGCATTATTTGCATAACTACTTATTCAATACATTGTTAAGTATTGGAGGTTATGAATAACACATTGCTATTGCATTTTCCTTCATTGAAGTACCTAAATATTTTTGTTAATTTAATTCTTTGGATATTAGGGTACACAAAAAATTCAATAATTACTTCAATAGTCCTAAGGGAGATAATTATTTTCTGAGGTATATAAGTAAGATTTGATAACAGTATTTATTCTCCCAAAACAATTATTCTTTATTTTATTATGATGTTTCAGGATCCACTTTCATATCCCATCTTCAGACTAGTAATTAGAATATTTTTGTTATTTATGTTTTCATACAATCAATATAATATTTTTTATATAAGTAACAATAACAGAAATTTCCAATCTTACCAGTATATACATCCTAATATCCTCTTATTTTTTATAAGATTTGTCATAATTATTTTATTTTTTTTATATTGTCGTATTTCATTCCTAAAATGCAATAATTTTATGTTTTTATTTATTTTATTATTACTATTTTTATGTATTTATCTAGTTTCTATAATGAATTTATTACCTTAAAATTATATTGTTGTCTCCTCTAGGTAGAGCCTAGTCAGATACAGAACTAAACCTTGAGCAAAGGATCAAATTCCAAAGCTTTAATTTATTTTTATATATTTAATTTGTTAATTACATGGGCATAATGGCTCCCTATTTTAGCTGGATCAGTTTTAAAATTTATTGGTTTTTTATTATGTTTAATAATAAATATTGACTCTTGTACCTTTCTATGTGTACTATATGTTTCTTTATATAATATTTGTGGTTGTGCTAAGTTGAATGTATGTCTATAAGTAATGCTATGATGGGCTAGGGCTGTTTTATACTTGTAAGATTGGAAATTTCTGTTACTGTTGTTGAAAGCTATATAAAAAATATTATATTGATTGTATAAAAATATAAATAACGAAAATATTCTAATTTCTAGTCTAAGGATGGGATATGAAAGTGGCTCCCGAAACGTCATAATAAAATAAAGAATAATTGTTTTGGGAGAATAAATACTGTTATCAAATCTTATTTATATACCTGAGTTAATTGTTTTTATTTTCTTCTAATTTTTGGATGCTAATTAGTGATTATCTAATTTTTCAAATGTATTATTAAAGTAACAAAAGTGAGGAATCATAATCATTTTTTGATATAATTGTTTATTAGAATAATTACAAATGATTTCATAATTAAACTAATCAATGAAGTCCCTCCTTTTTTTTTCTCCGCTACTTCGCCTTTTTGGCTATATGAATTTTTCTCTGGGAGGAAAAATTCTTCCCTGTAAATTAATGCGGAGATTACAAGGCAGTAATTTTCTTGTAACATGATTTTAAAATTGCTTTTTGATTTACTCTATCTAAATATATAAAATTTGGTTAAATTAAATGCTATAACAGTTATTGACTCTATTAGGCCATTATGAAAACTAATTGTCTTCACTATTTACAACTTACATTATAGGTACTTAGGAAGATGTGTCAAAAGATTCTTACCTCTTATATATTCCCTTTTATTGTTATTATTATTAAATTGCTGCAACCTGGAAATGAAGTCTATTTTCATAGCCTAAATGCACCAAGTCTGCGCTATTGCTATTTTCCAACAGATAGCAACAGTTGTCTTAAGGTGGCCATTCACATTCACCTCAGCTGGAGGTCTTCCATTAAAATGACATTCCAAAGTATATCCCATTCACCATACATAAAGCAATCGGATTGAATTATTGTAAATAAAAATTGCAAGTATAATTTATGGACTTGATTTAGCTACCATCTTTTTTTGTTTTCTTTTAAGTACTATATTTTATGGATGATTTTTTTCTTAAAAGCTTTCTGTTAGTTCAAGTTATGCACCAAATTTAAGAAAGATTAAATTTTAATTTAAAATATTTATTTTAAATTAAATCATTTTGTGATTTCTATTTCCAAAAAAGTAAAAATTAAAAAGTGAACCAAGAGAATCTTTTTTTATATTAAAAATGTCTGGTTTTTAATCCTATAAATTATCTAATCCAATGTAAGGAAATTTATGCAAATGTTTTATGATTCACAAATTCAAAATATATGTCATAAAGAAAAAATTACCTGTTTATGTCTTCTTACTTTATTCCTATAAGTTATATAATAATTGGGAAATCAGACAATAATATATTTTGATTATGTAAACTGATGTTTCCACCTGAAACATATTGTTCATTTTCAGAGCATGTGAGAAATTATCGTTATTTTTTCTCAACTTTTTCAGATTTTTAGTAATGCTAATCTTGTTAAAATAATTTTCTATTTTATATAACTTTAATACTTTTTCAGGGGAAAATACCGGTTTGGTAAAAAAAGACGACGTGATGAAGAAGATTTTGAAGAGACATTAGTGCCTGAATTGTGTACCCTCTTAGAATTCCCTGCAGTTTATATGTTGAAGGTTACTTTATTGCCTTCAATATTACATCGTATCACGATGCTACTGAATGCTGAAGAACTCCGCCAGAAAATTGCGGATGAAACAGGATTAGGAGTTGTAAAGCTTCCAAAAGGTTTATTTCTCATTTATTTCGTAAATATATAATTTAAATCTGTCAACAATAAAGATGGTTTTTTTGTATTTTTTTTTTAACTTTGTTTGAAATTTACTTTATTTGTATTATTAAGTCTTTCTGGCAGTTTTGATTAAAAGCATTAAAATCTAAAACTCACAATTTACTGCTTTTTATCTATTAATTATTATTTAAAATTAAAATCCTTACTGGGAACCTAATATATGGACTGCCAGTCCATCCACCGAATGTTCCGTGCACATGTTCGAGACAAATCTCAGCCATTCCTGTAAATCTCATTGGTTCAAAACCAGCCCCTCTCAAATCATCCAGAACTTTCGTCTTTCAGCAAACTTAACCCTTATACTATTATAATATTAAATTGTTACTTAAAAGTAAATTTTATAACCACCCCATACAATTTTAAATTGTTATTTAACAAGCAAAAGAAGCCGACATTATTTTTGATGCTGGGATATTACGAGCTGGTTATATATGTATTTGGTGCCATGAATTCAAATATGGCATTAGCGTTTGTTAAGAATGTCAAACTTCTAAGATATAACATTTTAATGAAATGTACGTTTTATATTATATTAAATTAAATCCATGAATCAAATCTAAAAATTAACCACAAAATCTTTATTATTAAACTGCACAAATATTATTATGTAATGCAAATGTCATTATATTACACAAATATTAGTATATACTGATATTATTATATTTTAACATAACATCCCTTCATATACTCCAGCAATAATGTGGCATCATGTGCATATTCTACCTTTCTTGATAGCAGTGGTCCTCCGTAATTTTAATATCTTAATGAAATCTTTCACCTTGCTCCCCACTATTGTCTCCTAAATTTTCAGGAAATCGGTCTAAATAGCGCACCTTGAAAGTCCTGTTGCATCCAAGGCATTTGAAGTTGTTAAGGATATCATTTACCAGTTCAACGTGGTTTTCTGTTTTTCATTGGGCCAGAAAATGAACTGCAAACAAATGAAGTCCAGCCTCATTCTAATTTACGAAGACTTGCTCCTTACTAATTTTTATTATTTCTGGGCTGTTAAATATTCCTGCTTTAAATTTTACCTTACTCAAGGGAAGCATTTTCCCTCCTATAAGTGCTAAGCATGATCCGTACTTACCAACGAAGTCCCAGATGAGAGATTTTGTATGCTTGGATATCAGAGATGTATTAATGGAATCCGGAGTAATAGTGATTCCTGTTATGCTTTCCATCCCCTCCTATGTCCCACTCTTAAATCTAATATCTAATCTATTGAGTGGGATGTATTGATACTCAGTCAGAATCACTGAAAAATCTAGTGAGATTGGAGGCATAGATCTCATACTGGCAATGTTTCTTCTTTTCTGCCATCTGGAAATGAGGACTGCGGGTCTCTTTCTCTTAACTTTCCAAAGGTCTTCCTTAGCTATTAGCTTTGTTTTCTACTAAGGCTATAATACTATTTTCTAACGTTTCTTCCTTGCAAACCTATCATATCGACAAACAATGTCAAAGACTGTTTCATTCTCCTGACAGAATCTACATAGCTGGTTCCTTCTTACTCGGAGATTCAACATATGGTAATTTAACTTACAGTGACCAGTATAGATTGCTGTAAGTTTTTTTAAAGCTGGTCTGTCCAGACTCAGTAGCAGTTTGCTTCTTTTGTCACATGGACCTTTAAAGAACAACTTTGAATATCGTATTTTGTTGGTCCAGTGTTGTTTGAATTTTTCACTGTATAACTCCCTTATCCTTCTTTTGGCAGTACTAAGACTGTTTTGATTCCTTTGTTGATTCCAACGGAGCATTTATTACTTCTGCTGTTATTTCTTTATACTTAATAATGAAATATTAGCCAAAGTCCAAGCACCTACTTCGGTCAGTACAGTATCTGCATTATACTGACCGGAGGCCGGACACCAACTGGCACTGTATCGCGTGTTGTCTCAAACACCATTTCCCTTACTTAAGCTTATTATAATCCATTGGAAACTGTAATTTAAATTTAAGAATGAATAAAATCACAATATATATACATTTTTTTTTCATGTTTTCAAAGCAAATTTATTTATATAAATTTCAAACACTAACTTATGATATATGAGCTGTTCTGATGACCTTTTTGCATATTTTCTGGTAAAATTATTAATCCATTACTGTAGAAGTTTTGAGATTGCTGGGCAAAAAACTGAACCAACTGATTTTCACAACCCTCTTTTGATGACTGCCTTATACCAATCATTAAGAGAGTTCTGCAGAGACTGGAACGGATGATAGTCAGAGAGAGCAAGGCCCAGACTATATGGTGGGTGCATCAGAACTTCCGAGCCAAGCTATCTTAATATTTTACCGTCATCCACTTTCCATCACTCGTAATCAATTGTTTTAAAAATGGCTCAATTTCATTTCGTTTCAGCAACGATTCACTAATGGAAACTTTCCATTAAATATTTCACTGTTAATTCATGTGGAACCCAAGTATCTAGATTCCTTTGGTATCCAGCCTTATGTGAATGGTTCAAAACTGTTTTAATATAAACATATATAAAATATGTTGGTCTACCTCGATTTTTTGAAGAATTTCATAGACTTTTTCAACGATTGGCAGGCCATGCCAAGGTTTATCTTTAACATCAAAATTTCTGCAATAAAAACAAGCAAACCAATTCTGACACTGACATTTGCTTAAGCTCTTCACCATAAAAATACAACTTTCGATGAGCCTGTGCTGCATTTTTCCCTTTTCAGAAGTAAATCAGCTTATCACAAAAATAACCTTCTTGAACCTCCATTTTTAAAGCCCAATAACTTTTAACTGATTAAATGAATTGATACTATTTTTGTATTTAGTTATGCTATAGACTGTGACCTTTCAAACTCACTACATAATGGCTTCATTGAATAAAGATTACAATATATTAGAAAAGTCACCTATTGAGATAAAACAAAATTACTTTTTCCACAACCCAATATATATTTATTTATATTCCCGACAATAATTATTTATTTAATACTAGGGGAATGGGAAGGGAGGAAAAGGGAATATGGTTGTTTTATGTTTCTTTAAAGAAAAATAAATCAACTGTGTGATTAATTATATAAAAACAGAACCTAGCAAGCATTTTAAGTTTATTGAACATTTCTTTGAGTTTTCGAATATCTCGAATATATATGGCAAAGTGTCTTGTTTTTGCAGATAGTTCTTTCAAAAATATTTTGTAATCCCCTGCATTTTCGTTATGTTGGCCGAATCTTGTATTACTAATTTGATAATATTAGAATGTACTTCATTGTAAAACTAATAAAATTATCGCATTAAAAGAAAAAATATATTTCAGTTATTATGTAAAGTAAAATATAAGAGTATCTGTGCATGTACCTGCTCGTGAAGGGTTTTGGGTTCAGTTCTTAGTAAGAGATTTCTTGACCAAACGTCATAGAAGGAAGTAATTAGGATCCAGAATCATTCATAGTCATAATAATAATAATAAAGAAAAAAAAAATAGTAATTTCATAAGGAATATTAATTATTATTTACTACTAATTTTTCAGTATTAAAACTAAAGGATGCCTCACACTTTATAATTTATTTTAGCATCGTATTTTTATTTATTTATTTTTTTAAATATTTATTTTACCTTTAACCATTAATCAGTAAATAATTTAATAATATGACCTTTTGATTAGGTGTTTATTGGAAACCTTTAGAAGTTGATGATACAGCCTTAGCTGGAGAAGAAACTTCTAATGCTAGAAGTACGGTTGAGGTCAGTAATATGTTGGCCGATAAAATGGTTGAGCTGCAGCCTAAAGATTTCACGTGGAAAAAAGAAGAAGAACCGATGGATATAGAAAGAAATTTGAGAAATTTAGATCTGCTTTCAGTTCTTCACTACGAACAATTTGCAAAAATTGAAATTTCTCCTGAGCAAATTAATGTGAGCACATTTTTCGTTGTTATTATTGGGTATGAGATTTGAGATTAAGATTTTCTAAATATTTTTATTGGTCACACTGTCGACTGTTTTATGATAAAATTTCCGTTAGAAAGATTAAAATTATTCTTTATTATTTCTTGAAAATTATTTTATTGAGGTTAATAAAAAATATTAAAGGTATACATAGTTGTACGTTTCGGGATATCTAATAAAATATTTACACTTATTTGCTTAACAAAAACGTTTACATTTAAACTACTACTAGCTTTCCATTTATTATTATTAACACTTTTTCTTGTTAAGTTCATTTTACTTATATACAATGGTACTGCTTTAATATACAATGGTCATGATATAAAAAACTATTAAAATTTAACCTAGCTAATATTAAGATTTCATTAAATATTAAAACTTAGACCTATATGGAAATTAAAATACAATTGTGGAACAGAAGATCGACCATTTTGTCTATTATTAATACTTACAAAGAGTCCCAAATAGTCTACATGGATCGAGTCTACAGTTTTAATCACCGGGAATAAATAAAACTAAATAGAAAGTTAATTATCTTAAACATCAATACTCATTATCTCAAAGACGATTAACTTTAAGAATTAAAAACTTATGGTTTGGTATTTTACTTCCGAACTTTACCTGGTCTTGATGCCTACCTCAAAATTTTTATAACCCAATTTGTTCTCTACGCTGACTTGTTACAGTTACCTTGTTTGAAACCTCCAATTTTTCCAGTATATTTTATTTAAATCCTAGAATTTAAGAATCAAAATTATGAATCATCCTTTCCGCATGAAATTCTTTTTCTATTGATAACTCATTTCTTGAAATCCATCGTTTCTGACTCAGAAAAGGGATTTATATTCAGAAATAATATATAGATTGATAGTATATTATGGTATATATGTTTTTATTTTTTTATTTAATCTTTTTATCATTTTGTTTCTTATTTTATTGTAGAAATCTAATGGTATGATTTTGGGAAAAGGCTCTTCAATTAGGGTAAGTATTGTTTTATTCATGATATATCTACTATTCATTACTTTTTCTGCCTCCATTAATAATCCGTTAGCAAGCACTTTAAGTTTATTTAACATTTCTTTGAGTTTTGAAGTATCTCGTATGGCAAAGTGCCTTGTTTTTGCAGATAAAGTTCTTTCAAAAATATTTTGTTATCCGCTGCATTTTCGTTAATTTAATTTAATCGTTAACATAAAATTTAAAGTAACAATTTACTTAATAAATTATTAGCTTGTTCCATTGAAAAATATCCCTTCAGTTTAATAGTTAGCAATAATTTAATTTTTTGATATTACAAATAATTAGAATCATAATTTTCTTCGTTGTTCTCCAATGTAACATGGTATTTTCAACTGTTTTTCAATTAAGATGAACGTTTTAATTTATATTTGTTTGTTTTCAGAGTAATATAATAAAGCCACCAAAAGTTAACGCACCTGACATTCCTATTCTATTCAATAAAAGCTCTCCTCTTGGGCCAGAATTGGGTTCTATCTTGAAGGTAATTTATTTTATTATCATTATTTGATTAAAACTTGTGTTGTGATAATGTTATCTGGGAAACAGCAGTTTTGTTTAAAGGATTTCATAAAAAATATATTATTGTATGATACAAAATAAAATTCATCAAGGGGTGCCATTGAATTAGACGTATAAGTAATAAATTTGTGTTTGTTAAACCCTTGAACTATTTTTATTATCAATGCTTCATTTTATGACTATTAAGAGAGAGAAACACTTTACTTTCTTATAAAATATAATAAAATGATTTATATATTAGTTTCTAATTTTAATATATAAATTCTAAAATAAAAACTTTTAATATAATGGTGGAATTATCCTGTTTATGTGTTTTTTAATATGGCAACTTAATATCAAAGTAATATTCCATGATGAAATTGAAATATTTATATGCTTAAAAAATCACTGTTTCCACCCTTATTTTTAATTATATTTCACAGATGAATTTTAGTTGATCATTTTGTTACGGTCTTAAATTTAGAAAAATTGTTTCTGCAATAAACTTGCCGGATGCTCAGTGGAGATGTTATGGTTCATAAAAATAATAGTCAAGAGTCAATTAAATTTTAATAACTGTCTAACAGGCGCCACACTATTTAATTTGTTGATTTTGGAAAATAGCGAAAACCATAAAAAAAAAAAAAAAATTAATATAGAAATAAAAAAGCATTGGATGCGGAGTGAGATATGAACTCGGAACCTTTGGGTTGAAAAACATATGTTAATTAACCTCATAACCTATCAAATCTTATTACTCGGTTAATATTGATTTTCCCTAATCCCCTGAATAGGGTTTTACAATTCCTTATTAAACCTTAAAAAAAAATAATGTAATATACATAAAACGTGAAAACAAACAGAAGAAAATAAAACTGGCTGTTATTAATACTAATGATGAATTTACTTATTTTTATTGATTTAAATAACAGTTAAAGGAATTGAAAATTATGAACAAAAAATTAGATTTATATAAAAACAAAGAAAATACAATTAACTTTAATTATCAAAGAAAAGAATATAAAATTAGTATAGAACCTAAACATTAACTTAGACTATACAATAAACCAATTGCAAATGTTAGGAAAAAAAATAGATAAGAAAAAAAACTTATATTTACAATATCTCACTGGTTGAACTCTGTCCAATTGGCACATTGAGTTATCTGAGGAAGGAGGAACTTATTCGAGCTAGCGTCGTCAGGGTTTTCCCAGTCCACTTATTCAAGTTATGAAAATGTTTACTCACTGACTTGTTAAACCAAGCGGTACTAGTCGCTAATAATCTTAGGTTCCTGGAGAGGAAAAGAAAAATCCGGCGTACACTGTAAAACTAAAGTATTTCACACACTAAAATCCTTAGCGTGCCTCTACACTCGCTAGGTTCCGCTATGTATCTCTAAACTTTTTTTTTTTCAATCATCTATTGGTTATTTCAATCCGAAATGAAATTAATACTTATTATTAAAACTAATACTAATTACTTAATTTTATTTAACCCTCTTCAAGTTAATAAAAAACAACATTACTTTACGGACTAATTTTTTTTGTATTTTATTTTTTGTCACAATTTCAATCTTATCTTGGATCATGAATAGTCTGTGATATCAATTATTTGTTTATTACGGTGGTAATATGGATATATATATATATATATATATATATATATATATATATATATATATATATATATATATATATGTATATATATATATATGTGTGTAAAATAAAAAGCTAAATATATTCATATATATTTTATTTGATCATATTTTACAGATATTTAATAAAATGTGTGAAATATTTAAGCAAAGATATCCTAAAAGTTTATGACAATTTAAAAAAGGGGGATATTTAAGAAAAACTCGTATAAAATTATGTTTATTTATCTTTTAATAAATTTATGTGAACATAGGAGAATAAATTAATTAAATAAGAACAAAGTTTTGGGGGGGGGGGCGAGAATGGCAGGCGAAATCTAAACTTTTTTAACATTTTGTATTTGGAACAAAAATGTAGTATCCCCTGTAGAGGACATCTTTGAAGAAATATCTAGGATTTTCTGGATTACCTACTTTTCTAAAACTTATTTTATTTTATACTGGAGTATTTCGGCTTTAAAAGAAATATGCCACCATTCTATATTACAAGTAGCTTTACAGCTTATTAAATAAGAAGAAAAGTGTGTTAAAATATATTTGTAAGTCCAAATTGTTTTTTTTTTCACAGCTATCATAAAACAAAACCACTGTCCCAGCAAAAAGTTGCTTTGGAAAACTTACTAATATATTTCGACGCTTAGGGCTTTGAAAGTCTCTACGTAAATCCAATTTCTGCTTATAATGAATGTTCTGACATCTATTTGAAATCAATTATTATTAAAAAGAAATTTTCAAGAAGTATGCTGAGCAGTTCAACCTTGGACTCTTAATCCTTTGGCCCAGATTCCAGTTTGACTGTTGTATAAAGCTTGTTTTATATTATATTTTTTTATTTATATTTTCAAAAGTTTCTTCAAGATACATATGCTATTTTAATAATTATTATTATAAGTAATAATTTTTTGCATATAGTTAATTACCTCTGTTCACCTTAAGATCACTTGAAGTAAAATTATATTACAATTCCACTGCTATCTTATATTCACAAATTATTAAAGCTTTTTATTTATCTCTAACTTCGCTTTTAATTTTACAGGCCTTAGTAGCGAGCTCTGCTAATGACGTTATGAATTATGAAAGGCTAGAAACATTGGGTGATTCTTTTTTGAAGTTTTTAGTTTCATTAATATTATTTATCAACTTTGAAAACAAGGATGAAGGTAAATTGAGCAGCATCAAAGGAAAAATAATCGGAAATAGAAATTTGTACTACAGCGGAAAAAATTTAAACCTCGGAAAAATTTTGAAGGTTTATAATCTTTTTTTTTTACATAAATGTTTATTAATTTATATTTCCTTATCAACCTAGTACTAATTTATACTTTTCCTTATTTAAAGGTTAATGACTTTATTCCTGATGACTGGGAAGTTCCTGGATTTACAATTTTGGAGAGCATTAAAGAAGTTATAAAAAATGCAAAAATTCCACCTTCCGTGCTCTATCAAATCAGTCTAACAAAAAAGTAAGTATTCTTCATTTTGTTACAGTTGATTCTACAAAGAATACTAAATTCGGTAATATAGTCAAAGTTTAAAAATGGTAATGACAAAATTTATTTCTGTTTATTACCATTAAGGACTTCATTGTCAATTTATAGTTTCTTTTTAATTTTTGTGTCATTGACAATGACAATGCTAAAGGAAATGCCTTTCTTCAATAAATTTATTTCTTCTAAATCAAGTTGTATGTAAATCAATATTTGTTCATTAAAAAGTGACAATTTTTTAAATTATTTTATGTTGCTATTAATGAATTACATAAAATGTGTTAACCTACATTACCATTCATTAATTTTGTCAGAGAAAGAGACACAGCGGTTTTAAATGAAGAAACATTAGAAAGCATTCATGAGTTATTCTGTAATTCTACACCAGCTGATGATAGTACTCATAGCAGCTTGGGAGTCATAGGCCAGCAATGTGTCGTTGACAAAGTTGTTGCAGATTCTATCGAAGCCCTTATAGGGGTGTACCTTGAGGTATTTACATATAGAATTGTATTATTGATTTGTAATTATTTTTACAATTTAATTAGTACAAAATATTTTTTTTTTTATAATATTCACATTTTTAACAGGAGTGTGGTGTTGAAGGTGCATTTATATTGTGTAAATGGTTAAAAATTCTCCCTGAAGAAATGTCTGATATCTACAAAGTATTACATGCACCAGCACCTTCTGCTCAAATATTAGATCACGGTGATGTAAATGATGTACTCATTATGCCGGAAGTTCTGGAATCAATATTGGGCTACAGATTTCAAGACAGAAGTTACCTCTTGCAAGCTCTTACTCATTGTTCTTATAGGCAAAACTTTACCGATTGCTATCAAAGGCTGGAATTCCTCGGTGATGCAATCTTAGGTAATAATTTTATCCTATATAAAGTTGTGTATTTTCATATTGCATCTTTTGAAAACAATTTTTTCTTTTTGTCTAGATTTCTTGATAACTTCCTACATTTATAACAGATGCAAAAATATATCACCTGGTGAATTGACAGACCTCAGATCGGCCTTAGTCAATAATGTCACATTTGCATGTTTGAGCGTACGGTATGGCTTCCATAAATTTATGCTTACTAAGGCTTGTAAGCTGACTGATATCATTAAGAGATTTGTTGAACACCAAGAGAAGAGAAATCATAAAATTGGTGCTGAGGTATTAAATTAACTTATATAAATGTGTATTCGATATTTATTGTTTGCATTTGTATTAAAAATGCGTTATAGTATCTTCTCTATGCAGTTTATCTAAATTTTCTTCTTTTAGGTCAGAATAGTTTTAGATTACTTGCACAGTCATTAGAAGTTGATAAAACCTGAGGCTTTTAAGTAAAATCGAGATTGCCTATTAATGATCAGGCCTTGTAACTAATAGTTTATTAATTTTTTTCTAAGAACACCAGATGTTATTTATAGTTAAGGAAAGGATAAATAAAATATCAATTAATAGTCATAAGTTAATTATGTTGAATTATTGTATAACTTTTACATTATTAAAGGCTCAGCTACTATAAGTGTTGCCTAAAGTTATATTATGAATCATTAAAGTACCTGTGAAGATATTTAGATTTTCTAGGACTGATTTAGATTGATTTTTATGGTTTAATACTGTTTTTTTTTCCCAATTTATAATTTACTTCAAGTCCAATTTACTCTATTTCTGTAATCAAAGCCTCATTAAATTTCCTCATGCTCTCTTGTTTACACCCAAGTACTGAAATCTGAGTGCAAGATTAAATTAAATATAAATAGTAAATTTTGTTCAGTATGCAGTTCTGAGCTAGATGATGGAGTAGTAGGTGGTGATCCTGTTGGTTTAACGGCTGCTCTCTGTTCTGTCTTCATTTTAGGAGTTACGTCCGCAATTCCACAATACACAATCATAATTTTTTTAAATTCTCAAAAATTTTATTCATTTACTACTGTACTCATTAGTATTTTTTTTTTACTTCAGATATTATTTCTTCTGAGTGAAAATGAGGTAAAAGCTGCCGAAATCGTGGATGTGCCAAAGGTCCTTGGTGACTTATTTGAATCATTAGCAGCAGCTATTTATTTAGATAGTGGAAAGTCTCTAAATACTGTTTGGAAAATTTTCTATAGATTAATGCACAATGAAATAGGTAATGTTAATTTTTTTTTTTTTATAGCTAATTCATATAAATGTTTATTTTGTTATGTATTTATTATTGATTTCCTTATAAACTTAATCCTAACAATCCAAAACATTTTTTAAAGCTTTCACAGCTTCACATTATATAAAATGCAATCATCCATAAAGATCTTCGTATTCATTAATTGATTCCTACCATATACTTTATTTATTTATGAGTCATTTGAGTATATACAATTACTAGTCTTTCTAATAACTTGAAATCACTTTTAATTAGTTTATTCACCTGTTTATATTGAGTCTCCTATATCAAAAAATGTTATTCAAAACAAATATTTAATCAAAATTAAAATCAGACTCATCAGTTCAGTTTATGGGTGGACAAATTATCTTTATTTCATCATTTGACATGGTGTTATTAAAAATGAAAGAATTTTCATTCCCCCTTTTTTTATTTTTGTGCTGAGCTAAAGAGAAGTTCAAAATAAAATTACAATACTGCTCAACTGTGTAGAATTACTAGCTGACACATAATATAATTATTTATTTATTAGATTAAAATTAATAATCCTTGTTTTATTGGTTAATAAAACTTTTTGTGTATCATTGGTTTATTTCCAAAACTCATCAAGTGACATTTCATAATCTCAAATAATTAAGAACTGTGGTGAATTTTCTCTTTGTGAAATCAGAAAATTGTGTACTTACTGCAACTGTATATGATTAATAAAAGGGTCCACGGGCGGATTTACGGGGGGGGGAGGGGCTTTCGGGCTGAAGCCCTCCCCCTCCTCCCAAAACGGTAAAATATAACCCTGTTTTATAGAAAAAAATATTAAAAACAATCTCTTCAAGTATTATTGTCCGTGTAATTACATTTCATAGGACTTCAAGAATCACTTTAACACCATTTCATATTGGTAGTTCATTTCTTTCTTTTTTTTAAAATTAATTATCGTTATGTATATGAAAAAAAAATCTTTTGAACTGAAATCTCCTCCCCAAAAAAAATTAAATCCTGGATCCGCTAGTGAAAGGCTCTGTGTCATTTTGATGTACTTACATATTTTAAAGTTAATCTAGATTAAAAAATGCACTTACTGGCTGTATGCGATAACCTGATAATATGTACTTTCAGTTAGTGAAGTTAAAATAATTGTGGTTAAAGAATGTTTTCTGGGTCCACTCGACCATATAAAAATATACACTTAGATTTTAGAAGGTCAAGAATCAGGCAACTCTAACCTCAGTCTGTTCTGAGACTTTTTATGGAATTTTGCCTGGATGTTTTTATGGCAGATAAAATGATTAACTATTAATCAAATTTATCTCATTTAAATAAATGTTGAATTGAAATATATTTTTTTTTTTTTTTTTGTTTTACTCTAGAGGAATTCATTGGAAATATTCCTAAGAACAGTATTCGACTTCTTTATGAAAAATTTCCTCATCCAGCACCATGTTTTGAGTGAGTTTTTACATTTTTTATAAATATTTTATTTAATGCATTAGAAAACGTATTTTATGTTTTATCGTAACACCGTTTCCCCTTACCTGTAATTATTAAAGAGGTTTGGTGTCTCGACTCATTTTAATCTGTCATGGTCATGGGATCATAGAATAAAAAGAAAAGTTATTTATTACTAACATCAACTCGAGAAAAAAGTTTGACTTTAGTCTGTTTACTTTTGTAAATAATTAGAAATATTTGGCTAGTCATTTTAGTAGGTGTACAAAATTCTCTAATGCCTGTTTTAATTTCATTGAGATACAAGTATTTTTTTTAAAGTTTTGATGAAATTGACAGATCTTAGTTACTTATTATCATTTTATCTATTGTATTGTAAATTGTTTTAGGAAACCGGAATTCCTTAATGAGAATAAAGCTATTGTCATGGTGCCCCTAGTTGTTACAACTAAGAATGAGAGGATGGCGTTTGTCGGAGTAGGAGAAAACAAACACCAAGCAAAATTAGCAGCTGCCAAGGTAGCTCTGAGGCATTATTATCTAGATCCAATGTGATTAAAAAGTTAATTTTTGTTTTATTATAATTTTTACTGTAAATAATCTTCCTTATAATTTTTACAATGAAGTTTTTATAAATTTTTATTTTTTTGAATTTATCTCTTAAGTTTTATTGGAATAATAGTTTTTCTAGTGTTTATATTAAATATATCACTAAACATTGTAGCAACATAAGCTAATGGATAATATTTCAAGACTGAATTTGAGAAATATGGTAATGTGATGTGATTTAATGCAAGTTAAGGTTGTAATATATATCTATTGTATATATACTTATTTGTTACCATTTTAATGTTAATATTATTTTTAATACTATGTTCTTATATATATATATAAAAATCCTTTTTTGTAATCATGTTGGTAGTATAATTATTATGTAAAAAGTACCAATTATGTGTCTTATGTATTACTTTATACTATATCCATTTAGTTACATTATACCTTTTTCTGTAAAAATTGTTAAAATTATAAAATCATTATAATTTATGAAAGTTTAAATATTATAATTTTAAGATATGCCATATTTTATTATAGTTTTATTAATAAAAACAATATAGAGAAAACTATTTTCATTCCTAAACAAATTATTTTGCATGAAATAGTTTTAAAAAATGAAATTATTAATGATTCTTCGAAAAATAACAATTGCCATGTAATCTTTTTAGTAGCTTACACTTATACTAGTAAGTGCAATAATCAATGGCTTGATACTAATAAACTCGACAAATTTGGTCTGGTAGAAAATTTTGATTGAGAATTCTGATATTTTTATCAAGAAATTTCTCTAAATTACATTGCCTGTCATCGAATGACGAATTGCCATTATCATAGTGGGCATTACGACCTGTCCCTGAGTCTGGGCCTCCGCCAGTCAGCTCAGTCTTTTGCAGCAGCTTTCCAGTTTGGTTGCCAAGAAGAACCCACACATCTGCCATGAAGCTCATCTGTCAATAAATTTTTTGCCTATCTACAAGTATTCTTGGTACCTACCTATCTGTCAGTGTGAGGTACGAGGCTCTCTGATAGAATGTATGTTATCACCCTGTAGGCACTCGAGAAAAAAAACAATACCTTCATAATTATCACACTCCATTTGGTTACTTTTCTTGCAAAGTGGACAAATGGCCCATCTACTAACTTCAGGCATTATTTCTTCTTCCCATACTGTAAGGATGAGATTGTGACTAGCTCGTTCAAATGTCCCTTGCCTCCATATCTCAACAGCTCTGCCAATATACCATCAGTTAAGTGCCTTGTTATTCTTTAACTTTTAGACGGCTGCCTAGACTTCTTCCTCATTCAGTGGCTCCAAGTCATTTAGGAGGTCTTCCACTCTCAATTCTGCAGTGGTTTTATTCTCTACATATTTGTACAAAGTATTCTTCCCATCTCTCCAGGATCCTCCATCTCTATGTCCTTACATGATGACTTAGTATAATCTGATTGGCCTGCCTACTTGGTTTAAAGTATCAAGAAGGATAACATTAGCAGACATTTCTTTATTATTATTTTGTTATTTCAGTTCCTCCTTCATTCCCTCTATGGATATAAATTAATCTCAAATTGAAAGAAAAATTTAAAAAAAAAAAAAAAAAAAAATGGGCTATACCTATAATTCTGTAGTAAGGTGATATCCCCCCAGACACTGAAACAGAATATGTGGTATTGAAAAATGAAAATCCTGACAGCAGAACTGTTTTATCTGATTTAAAAAAAGATGTTTTATTTGTATTAAATAATAGAGAATAAATATATACATTTATACACAACTAAAGATTATCATAATAGTAAAATCATAAAAAATTATTTTCTTTTATTAGATGGACGGTCGAAAACTTGTTTATAACCAGCAGCTTGATTATTTGTGAATTTTATATTATGAGCAGTTTCTGAAATCCAAGGAGAATCAAATTGTGTTGTATCTTGATCAACCAAATGCGTATATTTCGTTCTTCCACTTCTACCAAAGTTTTTAACCTAAAAATAAACATTAGCAATAATTCAACAAATAAAAATATTAAAGTTTCAGCTAATGAAATGGCACTTATCCAACTAACAAAAAAGTATGAGCAAAATAATAAAATAAGGAAAATATGCTTAAACAAAATCTACATTAATCCATTTAACAATAGGCTGTACTTGATTTATTTTTTCTAACATCTGTATTTTAAATGATAGTTAAAGGATAAAAAAAACAGCCAAGGACAAAATACTAAGTTGAAACTAATGTTTTTCTTTTTTTAAGTGAAAACTTCTAAGGGCGCGCTTAAACGAGAGAAATGTTCAATATTTCATCCTCTTTTTAATGAGCTATTATTATTCAAACTTGTATCTTAACGCGTTGCCGTCTTGAGAGAGGGAAATTTTAAGCAATCCATCCTCTGTAATAAGCTATAATTTAAAATTGTTTTTTGATGCGATGCCAAGCTAGAGAGAAAGTGAAAAAAAATAGCACCAAAACCAAATAATAATGACAATTATGTAGATTTGGACTAAAATATCTCCGAATTTAAACACCATCGATAATTCAGGAACCAATTTGCAGAAGTCAAAATAGATATTTTATTTAATTAGCTGTAAAAGTAAGAAATTAATAGTTCTTTGGCAATGATTACTTCCAATTAGCAACAATTAAATATATATTTGATATATTATCAAAATTGCATGTTTACAAGTTTACGTTTCGGGATATTTACTCCCATCTTCAGAACCACAATCCCATATACTAAATTGTTGCTAATTGGAAGTAATCATTGCCAAAGAACTAAGAATATCATACAACTTCCCAGAAAAAATAAAAAAGTAAGAAATTAAGTGATCATATATTTTGGTTATTATAAACCTATTACAATAGGTTTATAACTGATCTAATCATTTTTAGAGTGTGAAACAAATGACGATCAATCAGAGTAATTTATACACAATTATGATTGTATACAGTGTAAGTATTATTAATTTGTGAATATATAATAAAAATCTATATTTTATATTATTAATCCTGTCTTGTTTATGTTTTCACTTCTACTGTGTGGGCTTAAGCACATACTGTTAGATTTTTTGGCAAACTTTCAATATTATTTCGAAATAAATACATATATTACAATATGATATTGCAACCTTGTAATATTTGTAAATAATATCAGACAAAAAAAAAGCATTAGTTTCAATTTAGTTCTTCATGAGTTATGTCTCGGGTTCCTAACTGGGCAGCTATAGAATCTAATTTATGAAATGGAAAGAAATCAGTCTCTATGAGCTAAGTTAATTACCAGCCTTCATGATTAAGTTGCAAGTACTTAACAAGCACATATTCAGTTTACTTATAATACTCAAAATTCTATTTATGGATAAAGCTTACCTGCATAACTCTAGGTAATATAGTTTTATCAAAATGATCTTCCAGAGTGGCTTCTGAAAAATCTCTTCTGAACAAATCTTCTTCTCTGTCCTGGAAAATAAAAAACAAAAAAGATTATTTATTTGCTTAAATAAAACAAATTCTAATAATTTTAACTATAGAGTCCATCCGGGTCTGATATAAGATAAAAAATACTTTCTGCCATAGCAAGATTTAAAGCTATTTGAAATGGAACGGAACTTGGGAGTTAGTCTCACAGTTTCTTAAGAGTTCAATTGTTCCAAAATAAAATCAATTATTATGAAATAAAATAAAACCAAAAATTATTATGAATTAAATTCTTAGGAAATTATAATAAAAACATAATTTTTACACAGTTCACCTATTCTTAGCAAACATTATGATTTAACAGAATATAACTTTTTAAAAATCTGGCAAAATCCCAAAGTGTAGAGACAATAAATTATTATAGTATAATAAAAAATAATCAATCATTAACAACTTGTAGCAGAAGAAATTTCGTAATTTAAAAATGTTACCATAAAGAAAGCTCCTCTGTGATAATATTTCTGCATAAATTTGTATTTGCCCTTAGTTCCTTTGTTAGTAATTTGTTTCGGATTATTTCTGAACTCATTTCTTCTTTCTTCATCAGTCATAACTCTTATCCTTTCTATTTCTAGCCTTTCTTTCTCAAGCCTACAAGATAATAAATTTTTGTTTCAGATATAATTGAAAATTGATTATCAATTGAAAAATAAAACTTTTGTTTTTTTAAATTTATTTTTACACAGTATTTGAAAACAAAATGGCCTAACTTATAATCACGAATCATTCATTAAAACTTTTTTAAGGTTGCTCTACAAAAAATCTAATTGTAGTTACGGAGTTCTATATGGATATAACTGCAATTAGAGACAGTAATGAAGGGGAAAAAAAGATATAAATGACAAACATACAACAAAATTGGATGATCGTGCTGCTGTAAGTGATATAGAATAAACAGTTACATATTGACAAACTGGTTTACTTAACCAAAATTGAACATTATAAAGCTTAAAATCGGGGGTTAAAAATAATAAAATCATGGGATGAATAGTTTAGAGCAATTTTTAGATGAAATAATATAGACATAATGATAAACTTTAAAATACTTACTGTTCTCGTTCTTCTCTGTCCCGTTTGATCCTCTTCAGTTCTCTTTGTTTCCATGCCTCATATTCAACTTCATCATTCTCGTCATCAGTATTGACATCATTGATTGAAGGATCTTCACCATTGAGTTTACCTTTATTAGTTTCTTTTCTGATTTCTTCTTCAACCATCTGGAAAAAAAAAGGATAGTTAACTTTCCATTTTTATAAATTTATTGCTACAAAGAGTAACCAATGTTTGCAGGTCTTCATCAGGGCATGGCATATGGCACTACAGGAGGTAGTTGAAGACTAGCAGTTGAAACAGATGGAGACCTGCAAGGTGGGTCGAAACGTTGGCATAATTAAAAATACTATTTTTTTTTTAATTTAGTATTTATTTGACCGCACCCCCCCTCCCTCCCCCGACCAATTCCTTTTCAGATTATATCACGGTCAACCATCTCTAAATAATTATTTTTCTATTCTTTTACAATTACTTATAAGTCATCATATTAAGTTTATCTCTCTATTATACAAAAAAGTTTTTATTGACTTTCATATTTTATTTTATTTTAGTATTACGCTAGTAGGAGATAACAGGAGATCGGCAATTATTTTACAAATTATACAGCTGTTCACTTAATTACATATGTGCTAAGCTCCTATTACTACCTACTCTGCTAATACAAACTAATGATTTTAGACTAAAAATATGAGTGGGAAATTTTTTTTTATGTTGATAAAAAATTTGTTTTATGTATATAACAATCTCAACTACAGATTATACGTAAATTTAAGTTTTACAATTTGAGCAACAAGTAGTACAATTAAATGAACAGTTGTATAATTTGTAAAATGGAGGTTGGTCTATTGGAAATTATAAAAATCATTAACTACAGGACAACTCGATAAACAAATGTAAGTAGATATAAAGAGGGCGGAACAGCCAACAAGTTGAAGTGTTGGTCCCAAAGTGCCCAGTTCTGAACGTTGTGAGTTCAATTCTCATCTGGATCAGTTAATTTTCATTTCTCAATGACACCGGAAAATGAATCCTGTAATTCCCACTGTGGCGAGTAAGCAACGGCAACCTCAAGGTAGATGCCAGATATTAGCAGAGAGGACCATGTGCCCCACTTGTCGGACAAGTTCTTCCCACCAGTACCAGTAAACAGTAACCAGTAGTACCTATAAATTTTCAAAAAGAGGAATCAAATTAATATTAATACCTTAAGGGTTTGTTTTCTCCTTTCTTCGGCCATTTTTTTAGCTTCCAGCTCTATTTCCTTTTTTCTTTGTGCTTCTTTTTCTTTTTCGAGAATAGTAACCCTTTCCTTCTTTCTAACAAATACTGGTTTCAAACGAACACCAACCTCTTCTTCAGAATCTGTTATCAACAAAAAAATTACACTAAACTAAAAACAGTCAAGGTAAACAAAATTAGGAACTCTTCTTAATAAATTACAGTTTAAATAATTATATTATTCAAACATAATTTTTTTTAAAATATCCACTGCATATTCAAATTTGAAACATTTTTTTCATAAAACTGCAGGCTGAATTACCTGTGTATTCTTCATATTCTGATGATTCAACTTCACTTTCTTGTTCACTCTGGCCTTCTTCTTCTTTATCTAGAACTTCCGTTTCCTAAAATTTATTAACAAAATAAATATTCTAAGTAAAAAAATGAATGTGTTTAGGTATTTTATTAATAACAATATAATGATCAACTTTAATATATAAGTTATTGATATTGACATTTGGGGACACAGTTTGCTAAAAAAAAAATAGATTTATTGTTTTTTTCTAGCTAGTTAAAACCCAAAAATTATTTAATGCCCAAGAAATATTAATCATCTATATTTAAATCCATCTCCATGCAGATTTTTATAAATCTAGGAAATCATCATTGATGTTCTGTTAACAAATATACTGAAACATGTAACTGCGTTAATATTTTTTACTCCGTCATCTAGATTTAATCCAACGTTAAAAATTTCTAAATGATATTTCTTTTAAAAATAATTAAAATAAGATAAAAGATATCATACCATTTGTTCTTTTAAAGTTAAAACCTTCTGTTTTAACATTTGCCTTCTACGTTCAATTTCTGTGTCACTAAGTTCTTCTTCCTCCTCTTCTTCACTGCTCTCTCTCCCTCTTCTCATCTCTGCTTCATTTTCCGAGCTGTGACCACTTTCAATAACTTCCGGTTCATGTATATGCCTATAGAATGGAGGGTATACAAAATGAATAAGTATCTTGTACTAAGGCTAAATATTAAAATTTTAGTAATAATTAAATAACAAAATTACTCGAAAGGAATACAATTTTTAATATATGATTCTATGATTCTTCACTCATATAATCTACAGACTGCTTAAGGACCTTATATATATATATATAATTAGCAAGAAATTAAAATATGTTGGTTGGAGGTGCTGCTTTAATTTAATTACACACAAATAAGAATTCTTATTATTATGTGTGGTGATGTTTCGGCCCAAGTTTTAGGACTTCATTAGGTCTACTAATGATGTGTATTTTCAACAAATTCCCTGATAATATTTGTATCCCTCATGAACGCTAGAACTTAGGCCGAATCATCAACGCACAATAAAATAAGAATACTTATTTGAGTGAAATTTCATCTTTAACCTATAATAAAATTAAGACATATTATCCAAAAGACTGAAAGGAAAATGTAATGATAATAGTAATATCTTTGTTAACAACACAAAGTCAAAACTTTGTTAAGGTAACTTTCATTTAAAACTATTATAAAGTTAGTCAATTTATAATATTGATATACCAACTTTACAGTATATTATTAATAAAGAAGAGAAGAATAGTTGGGGTGGTCAGTCAAAAAAGAAGGCAAAAATAAATGATAATATTTATTTTTACATATGCCGACGTTTCGACCTGAAGTTCAGGCCTTCATCAGGGCTGTCTCCTTAAGTGTTGCAGAGAGAAATAAATATTATCATTTATTTTTGCCTTCTTTTTTGACTGACCACCCCAACTATTCTTCTTTTCATTATCCACGACAGTCAACCATTTACCAATTATGAATATATTATTAATAATATTAATTTCAAACAATTTATATATTTTTAATCATACCTATGCCTTTTAATTCCTTCTTCTTCATCTTCACTTTCCTTTCTATCATCCAAACGCCTAGATTTTAAACGCCTTAGACGAGGGTCATCAGGTAAAGAATCATCACTCTCAGCTCTGATTTCAGGTGAAGGAGCTTTATGACGACGTTGTGCAATAAAATCTTCATCATCTGAATCTTCTTCACTGCTTGACATAGGTGCGTATTCTGGACGTTTACCCGATACATATCGATGGACTTTTACTTTTTTCATAGTCAACTCACCTAAAATGTTTAAAAAATATTATTTTAAAATACTTAACCAAGGAAATTAATCAACATAATTTAAATCATGCTTATAATTATTCTATCATAACAACAGAAAGCGACAAAATTTTATTTTTAAGAGATGCTCAACAGTTCAATTAAAAAATGTACTCTTTTTTGACAAAAAATATCACATATTTTACAGTCAAAACAAAAATTTAATATTTTTAATCTAGTTTATTGCAATTAGAAGCAAAAAAAGTACCAAGGATCTTCAAAAATCTTGTATTAACTTAGTGGATGAGAGTGGAACAGTTGATTTAACAATTTTTTTACACAGACAGCTAGATTTTTTAAACAAAATTTAGGAAGGATAGAACAAAGATCCCAATCTTAACTGAGGAAATAACTTATTATTTCTTAATTAATAAATCTAATATTCATATGGATCAATTCCCTTAAAAACATACATCGACAACATATTTCATCGCACCTAATAAATAATATAATAGAAGAAGTTCATCATTCAACAAATAAAAAATTTAAGATTCAATGGGTTTCAGGTCATGGGTTTGTATGGAAATGAATGAGCTGATATGATAGCAAAACGGTGTTCCGGAAGGGCGGAAAATGCGAAACTGCCTTTATAGAAAATTTGTAGATGGGTGAAAAAAAACTTTATTAGTGAATGGCAGGATAGGTATGTTATGCCTGGGAGTCAAGTTCGAAAGGTAAAGATCATTTCGTTATCCAACCTAATGTGTCACTATGCCCATGATTCTGTAACACTAGTGTTAAGTTAAACAGAAAAGAAATAGTATTACTAACAAGATTAAGAATTAACTATGGTCGTACAAATCGCGGCTTGACATTAATTAAAATTGAAAAAAAATGATAAATGTTCGACATGCAACTCCATCGAGAACCCATTCCACATTATTCTAAAATGCAGCAGATATAATACATACCGGATTAAATATATCCTCATAAAAAACGATAGCGCTTTCCACCAAGGGCTGGCTGAGCTAGATAGGGATACCATTAAGTCAATGTGCAAATTTATTGAACAATTCATAATAGATTTTTAAAAATAAATAATAATGAACATCCATATCTCCATTCTATTATAATATAACAATAGGGGCAGTATAGGACTTCAGTGGGAGTCTTGGGAGGAAAGGAAAAAAATATATTAAAAAAAAATATGGATCAATTAAGGAAGGCAAAGCGTAGGCTAAGGTTTGTGAGTAAAAGTCCCAGAGGACTCTTGCAATCACATCATAATTAGCAATGTTTCAAACACAAATTCATACCATGGATAGCTACCACAGAACATTAGAACGAACAAAGATTTTATAAAAAAATAATATTGATTGTAAAATTAGCACTTTAATTATCAAATTTTTAAATGGATAAAATGTAGCTTGTCTAAAACTACCTAGATTACAGATGGAGAATCTACCTGGCCTCGCTTTGTTTTTTTTTTGTGATATTTTCTGAATTGGAATTAATTAGTTTTTAATTATTTAGGATATAAAAATTTTAAAGTTTAATTTGAATATATGTGTATGGTTTTGTGTGTATATTTATTTACTTATTTTTATCTGAAGACTTTCACATCATTAGTTATATGTCTTCCCCAAATATAAGTTTTTGCCATCTTCTCATGTCCTGCCAGTCTCCTTCATGCATACCCCTGTCATCATTCCTTCCTTTACGCCGTCATACCAGTTTCTACTAAGGCGACCTTCTTTCCAGTTTTCAATCTCAAATTCATTAAGGCCATAGTCCCTCTTTCATCCTCATCACATGCCCACACCACTTCAGCCTCATTGGTCAGGAGGATATTCTTCATTTGTTCTATTTGTTTCCTAATTTTGCTATTTGGAAGTTCTTGAAGGCAAGAAACACCGTATCGATGATCGCCTACAATAGTCCATTACTAGGGCTAACAATCTTTTAGATTGACTCTTTAATTTTCGAAGATTCGGCTGAATAGAGAGTAACAATTTCCAGGAATGATTTATAATTTTTTTTTTTTTTTTTTTTTATCTGAATTACTCCACAGTACTGAATTTATGATCCTGATAATTATCTTTCCATTGCTTATGCTCTTTTCAGTATCCATGTCTGATGTTTCCGTCATATTCATCCAGCTTCCTAGATACTTAAATTGATCTTAAGATTTGAACATCCAATTGTCCAATTGTAGATATTTGCCTTGGCTATTAAAGGCTATATATACCATTTTTCCTATCATATATTCTCTTTCTTCTGCTTCCGAAGCGATGAGCACCTGGTCCTAAGCAAATTCGAATTTGAATAAGCAGTCATTTCTAATCTTTATGTCCATACTTCTACATGTTTCTTTCATTCTTTTACAGCTCTTTCCACCTAAACGTTAAAGAGAAGCGGAAATAGTGAACATCTCTGTTTTAAACCTTTCTTTATGAGAAAGCTATTACTAACAGAGGCTCTGGTTTTAACATATGCTTTAGCATACTCATATAGGCTTTTTAGTGCTGTTAAAAGGTAGAGACTTATTTACTAATAGATAAAAAAAGCAACAGTAAAATATAAAAAAATATTGTGAGTTCTATTATTCCTGCCTAACCTTAATGCGGCCTCTAATGATAAAAAAGGTTCTTAATCTATGGCCTATATGATCTTAGACATCTGGTAAAGGAAAAAACACAGACTCTTAAGGGCAAGAATATTGCATATAAATCAGAATAATGCGCTCAACGATTACTAGTTAACATAAAGTAATATTGAGATAATAGCTGGCCAGGATTCTAAATGCAGAACTGAGCCATGCCATCGCATCCATCCCTAAACTGGATTAAAGGACAACATCGATGAGCTCAGCTCTGCTTTCAGGAATTAGCCTTAAATAATAATGAGAAATGTTAAGAACGTTTTTTTAAATAATTCAGGACAATAACAACAGGAGTGAGATAGTTTACTGCTGTTAAAACCTAAAAACATTAAGACTAAAACAACTATTACAAGGAATGATATAAGGAAAACAACTGGTCACCTCATGGTTATCTTCTGTTAAAATATTTTCTCTAAATGATAAATCTTTTATTAGCCATGTTTTACAGCAGTGGTTCTTTTAAACTGATAGACTCTCCTCCTCCCCACTGGTTTGTGGACAAGAGATTAAGAGATTTTAGGACAGGATAAATGGATTCTTAATATGAATATCAAGAGACGCCATTTCTACATCGATTTGAAGGTCGCATACCATAGTATTAATCATGATGAGCTCTACTTAATGATGGAGGAATGTCATATCCTTCAGAAGTTCATACGTATAGGCTGACCATGAAAGACGTGTTGTTTTAGGTGCACATTGGTGGAGATCTATCCGAGGAATTCTGAGCAACAAGGGCTGACAGCAGGATGACGCCCTCGCATGCCTCACATTCAATATTACCCTGAAGAAGGCTATGAGAGAATGGAGCATACAATATTCAATCGGAGTACACAGCTACTGGCTTATGTGGATAATGTCGACTTCATTGGGCGCTCTCAACTGGCTGTCAGGGAAGCTTTTCTAGCACTTTTAGGTCCTACAAGGAAACTTGGATTGGAAAACCAAATACATGGTAACCAAAGAGATGGTCACATTGAGCAAGTCAACGAATTTATTTATCTAGACTCTACGGTAACAAAGGACAATAGCATAGAAACAGAAATTAGAAGAAATATAATTTCTGCTAATCAGTGCTACTACAGACTGATAAAACAGCATGGCGGCCACATTATCTCCCGTCAAATTAAATTACATCTTTACAAAACAATAATCCACCCTGTGCTAATATATGCCATAAAAACGTGAACTATGGCCAAACGTAATGAACAGATCTTCCTTGTGCTCGAGCAGAAAATCCTTTGGAGGAGGCACACACATCAGGAGATCTATGGTCTATTTAAAGAACCAAATATTGTTCAGATGGTTAAACTGGGCTGGTTGCGGTGGACAGAGTATGTGGCACCCATGAGCGAAGAAGAGTTGCCCAGGAAGCTTTCGACAGATCCACACTACGGAATGAGAAGACGAGGAAGACTGAAGCATAGATAAGTAGACGATGTTGCAGCTGACAGTTCACATCCTTGGAGTGCACTACTGGATGGCGGCTGCAAGAAACCATGACGATTAGCGATGTTGATGGCGCAGAGCCAGACCCAGCAACGGGTTGTTGCGCCGAGATAATAATAATATGAACATCTCCCTTTCTACTGAATACAAAACAGTTATAATAGGTAGAAACATAAAACTTATGGTAGGACTACCAGACACAAGAGCAGGGGTCTCCAAACTTTTTGGCCCACTGGCCACATAAGAGATATCGACTAAGTTCTATGGGCCGCATTGAGACCTCCACCGAAGTCCTACAAGCTATAGCTTATGATGAAAAAAATAATGTTGCTTAAATGACCCTTCAGCTGTGAAATGAGCTTGTTAAGAGAAAAAAAAACCCTTAGCAATAAATGTTGAAGTACCCTCGATTGTGAGTAATTTTCTACACTTCATATTATTAAATAGCTTGAACAATTCTACCATGTAATTAAAGTAACATTAGACGCAGGCCCCAGTTCGTACTTTGGAGACCCCTAGTTAAGAGTAAGAGCATCCTCAATTATAGAAAATATACTAATTACAGGTCAATTATGTTTTCACACATATAATAAAGAATCTTTGTTTTTATGAATATATTAACATTACTTTTCTTTCTCAATTCTAATATTCTCCTCATTTTTGACCAAACTTGTTTCGCAACTAACACAATGCTGGGGCAAATTACAGAACTAAATATCATTGTTTTTAATAAAAGGTTTTAAATGCAAAATGATTAAAATTGAATATAAAATGTTATTAATTTTAAATAGATGTAAATGACGGTCTCTGAACCTGTAATCTATTAATTATGTAGGACAGAAAAGGGGATAAAGTACACTAAAATATACAGATAAAAAATGATACAGAAAATACTACAAATTATGAGTGTTTATTTTGTTAAATTAGACCTATTGAATCAAATATTGACAGTGAGCAGTGAGGGAGAATATTACAATCAAGAACCAAGTAATAAATACTGGCTGCACTCCATCACTAACAACCAAGACGATTACATACCTTTCTCATTTTTCACTGGTACAGCACCTGCCGTACTGATAATATCAAAAGATGTAGGTTGAGGATAGAAATCCATTTTTAAATTAAATATCAAACTACTCTTTAGACAGAAATAAAAACAATCCCGTAAGGTTAAGACTTAAGGTGAGGTTATATGAAGCGAGCCTAGCGCTGTGGTGTCAATTTACGCTACTGATAACCACGAGATGGCGCCATCGTAGAGGGAGAGGGGATGGAATAAACTTGGAGTCGGGAATGTATGGAATGTTGTGTATTCGCTCTGGAGAGTTCATTTCGTCTGGAAGGACTCCATTGCTCGCGACGCTGCCTGCTCTGGTAGCTAAGTGCTGTGATGTGACCGTGTGTGTTTACTTTCCTTACAGTGTTTAATAATTTGTTAGTTTCGGTATTAGTTAGTTAAAGGTGCCGTTGTAAAAGGGAGGTTGTTTTCTCTTCGACTCGTGGAAGATATAAGGTAACACCACTCAAGTTATTGCCATAATTGTTAATTACTAATGTTTTTTTTGGTTTTATAATAATTGGCTATATTTATATATGAATCAACCAATCTACACGCATACTTATAAAACTTGTTTGAGCTTTTCGATCATTTAATAATTTTTACAATGTATTATATTTTTTTATTTTTAATTTACTTTGACAGCTGCTGTCAAACTGTAAAGTGATCTTTTATCGTTGAGGTCATTATTTTTTCCTTAAGTTACTGTAGACCTTGATTAAATTTGATTGCGGTTTGAGGGCGGGAAAACCTTTGAATCAACAGGTGAAGGGGCGTTCTTTGCGCAGATGTGATTGAGTAATGAATAATCACGGATTTTTCTGCAGATCGTTTTGCGGATTATTTTTTACTTATCTAATCCACGATTTGTTCGTAAATATGATAATAAAGTATTGAAAATTGTTTCATTTCTTGCTTTATTTTTCTCTAATAATAGCAGTATCCAAATATTTGATATTCAAATTTAGTCCCTGTATGGTAATTTATGCATTGGTGTTTATTAGAATAAAAAGAACAACTTTTTCAGACCCTGGTTGAATACATCTATGAAATACTAAATAAATGAGGTTAAATTTTATAATAATAGGTTCAAAATATTATCGTGAATACTATCATTCAGTATTTCACTATAATTATTAGCACTTGTTTTTGTTTTTTTTATACATGCCATATGCCGCACTACGATTAATTAAGCAGTTTTCTTTATTTTTTACACATATTAATAAATTTTACATATCTAGGTATTTTCTAATCTTCAATTAGTTTGAGTTGATTAATGTCAAAACAAATTTACAGTTGTTTTCTAGCCTCGACAATTTTAAATAAATAATTTTTTAACTGGCATAATTAATATATTAATAGATCCTTGTTCCAGTAAACTTGATCTACTATCAATTATTATTATGAATTATTATGCAGTGTAACAATTATTAGATAAGTATGATTTCTTGAAGAATCCCATATAGTTCTGAATTGATTAGTTACTTTAACTAATTACATTAACTCCAAAATTAATTTCGTTTTTTTAATGTTGGATGTACTTTTGAATTATTGTTTCAATAAATCCCATTTTATGTTGGCATGATCTTTTATGTTTTGATTATTTATCACTGGATTATTTAGACATAATCTTATCCTTTAGTTTATCATATCAATTCCTGGATCTTCCTTATTCTTTTTTTCTGTAAATATTGTTATTAAAAATTAGTTCAACTTGTTTTAAGTGATTTAATTGTAACAAGATGAAATTAGAATTGAATCCGGATTTGCAAAGTTAGTATCTATTGCTAATAGAAGCTACGTAAAAGGATATATTTTAGTTTATGTTTGCTTTTTCAATTTTTTCGTATTGTATCAGAACTTGGACTACGCTATTTTTGAAATAGTCATGACATCATGTTGATGTCGTGTTTTGGCGGGACCTCATCACCATGACCAAAAATTTGATGATTCTTTATCTTAATAAATCACCATTTATAAAAAATATTAAAAATTGTTTTGCTTTACTTCACAATAAGGAACCAAAAGAAAATTAATATTTACATTTCATTTTTAAAATTATGTTGTTACATTGCTGTTACTTACAGAAATCGCTTATAGCGTGATTTCCGGTAGTAATTTATTTCCAAATACCAATTTTTATATCGATATGGCCATAGAAATTACAGTTCAAATTAATTTACATTTGTTAAGTACTATCGTCTGCGACAGAAGGAATAAAACAATGCGAGGAAATTATTAAATAATCATTAGCTTTCATAAAGTATCTTAATTAGATACTTTTCCTTCGTCAACACCTACCTACGTCCTTTTATATTATGCTTTAACTAATTTTAAATTATGTATTGGCAATAGTGACTTTTTTTTGCTACTATTTATTGTATACCTTTTTTAAGTTTTCCTCCATTTTGCTGAAGTTTTTCGATGACTTCTCATTAGAAAAAAATTAACATGTACATCAAAATACTTTTATTTCATTTCTGGGTCTTTGTTATTTTACTATAGAACCGTTATTAAAATAAATAATTATTAAACGGTTGGGTGGTTGCTTTTTTAGTTCATGTATTTGAAATTCTGTAAAGTGGTAAAAATGTAGTTGTTACCTCTCCTGTATTTTGAAATTGTAACTTCTTTTGTTGTGCTAGAACTTATTTCCTTTAGTTATGTATGTTCTATCTTAGTTTAGTTATAATTTTATTTTTTGTTATAAAAGAGAAACTATACATCTCTAAATGTAATATTTTTTTTTTTAATTGTGATGAGTACTGTTCATTTTGTCAGATCTATTTGAAGTGAATAATATTTAGTCATGTAAGAGAAAGAATATTTATTGACATCAGAATTTCTACCAATTCCTGAGTGAGACACTCGTAGAAAAACTAAAATCTCTGGAAGTAAATTTACTTACTATCCAGCCTTTCCTAGCAAGCTTTTCAATGTGCAAGTAGTATCAGAGTTTTGGCTAACCTTTCTGCTATACGGTATATTAATTATTTGATGAATAATATTTCTCAGAAAGTTAACAATTGAAATTACTTATCCAGAACTGTACAAGATATTAACCAAGCAAGCAGATATCTACTGTTATTGAGTACACTAGATTTTAATACAATACATTCTTATGGGAGTAACTCCAGATTTTGGCGATAGATAGGTAAATCATAAGTCACGCGAGCATCAGAGTTCTGGTAACGTGTGATTAGAGATGAAAAGTTCAACAGCATAACTGTGCTGAATGACCCAATTCAGTGGAGGATACCAAGACACACTAGCGGATCCAGGATTTAGTTTTTGGGGGGGGGAGAGAGGGCTTCAGTCCAAAACCTTTTTTTTTTCATAAAAATAACGATAATTACTTTGGCAAAACAGAAAGAAGCTAACTACCTATATGAAATGGTGTTAAAGTGATTCCTTAAGTCCTTTTAAATGTACTTAGAAGACCCTCCCCCCCCCCGTAGATCCGCCCGTGCCAAGACATATAGGAGTGGTAGGGATACATCTCAGAATATTTTGGCAATGCTTGTTTGTTCGATGATTCGTTATGTTCGCTTGCGCCATTCAAATCGCCTCAAGTTGATCTTCAACGCCAATTTAATCGGAATCATGCTTAAGAAAGGATGATAATAGAGTTCAGGAATGCCTAGAAGATTTCATGGCGCAACTTGAGCCATCAAAATTTATGAGGGAAGGGGAGCATACCTCGATGGGGTTATGAATTTTCGGAGTGAAAAGTTTCGAACCTGGGGGTACAAGAGGAAAACGGAACAGACCGCAACAACTGTAGTTAAATATAATCTACAATTTGTGTAATTTTACAAATTGAGCAATGAAATATTTTATGGGGGGAGGGGCGGTTTCCATTGACCTTTGGAAGAATTGGCATCACTGATATAGCTAGTGTTTGAATAAATTAAACAAAGGTTTTAAATACTCGGAAATTGTATGCGGAATAGTACTTGAAAGAATATCAGGGGGCGGGTTGGCCGAATGGGCTAACGTGTGTGCACAGCACCGCGAGTTGTCTGGCAACCAAATAACCAAGTTTTGAGATTGAGAAAAAAATTACGAGTTCGCCTCCCGGTGCCAGAGGGGATTTTGAATTTCCCGCCCTCACCATCCGGCCCGAGAAAATCCCATATAGCCTAAAAGGCGAGGTAGGGAAGAACACTAAAAAAGCTTGAATGAGTATCGAAAAAGTATTACCGTTTTTACTAATTCTCTTGTTACGAATGGCCGCATCAAAGACCCAGGCGATCCTGCTGAAGGGAAAGACGGATAGGGCACACCCGATCAATCTGTGTATACAGGGAACGAGAATACGTCCAAGTGAGGTGGTCACCTACCTTGGCATAAGGTTAGGAAGAGGATTTAATCTGACCCCTCATTTGGACTACTTAGGAAGTAGGGTGCCCTTAGCCTTGAATGGACTTAGTCGCCTAGGGGTTGCATTTTGGGGCCTCAGATACACAGCTACGAGGATCATTTACTATGGAATGATAGTGGGTATTCTGAGATACGCCTCTCCTGCGTGGTCTCAGAATCTCTCACACCGTCGGAAACGCAGATTGGCAACAATTCAACGTACGGCTCTGTTGCGAGTCACAAAATCATACCGAAGTGTGTCTCACGAGGCGGTGCAGATCTAAGTAGGAGTGGTACCTCTCGACCTTCTCCTGCGAGAAGACTCGCTAATATTTAAGTTAAAAAGAGAAGGCTCAGCAGGTCTTCCGGAGAATATCCGGGTGAGGATTGCAGAAGACCCAAGAAAATGGAAGTGGATTATCCGGAAGGATACCATAGATGAGTGAAATCGGCGGTGGGTAACGACCTTGAAAGGAGCAACTTTAAGAAAATATTTCCCCACCGTACGAAGTCGCTTGAAAGCTAAGTGGGTTCTCCCGGACTACTGGGTCTCTCAATTCCTTGCTGGGCGTGGGGGTTTCCACTTTAAGTTACATAGTTTTGGAAAAGACATAGATCCCCTATACCCCAGTTGCGGAGTACCGGAGACGGCTGAGCATATTATCGTCAACTGCACCGCCTTTGATGGACTAAGGGCCGAAATGATAAAAAAAATGGGAATCTATGGCCTCACGGAGGATGAATTTCCTTAGTTAGTGACGGAGCAGAACTACTCATATTACAAAGATTTTGTGTACGGGTGGAAAGCTGCTCTGGGACCCTCCCACTTT